ATTGAACACTACAGATGTGCAAATATCAATAGGTTTAGTTAAGTAGGAATTGATATTTTGGTTACTATTGTTAATTTACACCGTTTTATCCTTCACCGGTCATCCATCACAATTGAAAAATACGAAACTTTCAAGTAGGATTATACTGAGTAAAAGGATGCCGTATTGGTTTTTGTTTAGAATCTAGTTGGTTATGTAAAAACTGGTGAAAGGTGTCAGTGATTAACCACGACCATTTGAGGAAATGTAAAATCGGTTGAAAGGGTTTCAATTGGTACTTGTATTTACTTCACAGCTATAATAAAGTAATTGACGCTATTGAAAAAAACTTAAATTGCCTTACCCATTTTATGTCTTTTAATGTGTAAATAGGGTACTTGTGTTTTAAAAATTATTTTCTAGTAAAGAATACGAGTGATTAAGTGTCTATTTCATATGATCCCATTCGTTACAGAAATTGTACAACAAACAAAACCAGAGCATGAGAAATTCATATTAAAGTGATTTTACTGACAATGGGTATTTTATTTTCTCCCGCTTTGATTAATTCATATAATATGTGATATCGGATACAACTACAAGACAACTGCAGTACGAAACGAAGATCTACTTTATCGATTTGTTAATTTCGGTCAAATGAATATTAATTTAAACACATCTTCTAAGAAGATATTAGTAGCTATACTGCATGGGTAGAAGACATAGATGACACCTTGACGATTATAATAGCTAGAACGGCATAAGGACACGGTCTTCAAATATCAGAGCAGTTTATTCTCTTCTTTCTGTGTAATAAGCCATTTTGAAGTTATTATAGTGTTAGTGCACAGCGTCTTTAGAATTGGGGAGGGGGGGCTTCCAGGGCCTCTTCCTCCACGAATCCATGCATTGCTACAGATCTGCAGAGGACGCATGTTAGACCGCTCAGCCATTTTGTTACATCTATATGACGTTATATGGGGGGGGGGGGTGCTGAATGGCTAGCGTGCGCGCGCTGTATTTGAGTCGACTGGCGTAGTTTCGAATCCCCGGTTGTACGTGACAAGGAGTAGGGTCGCCTGTCCAACCTCGTGGGTTTTCTCCGGGTCCTCCGGTTTCCTCCCACTGCTAAAGACTCCTATGCGCAAGCAAATTATTGAAATAAAATTAAACCATATGTTAGTCCCGAAATGACCTAGTTTGTGTCGAGTGGACGTTAACCCCCCCCCTCTCTCTCTCTCTCTCTCTCTCTCTCTCTCTCTCATGACGGTATATGAGACTTTATCGCATGGGAATCTAATTTATTAGAACCAGATTACATGAAGACAGCGATGCCACCCAAAATCACAAGAACAAGACTGATTGATCGGTACATATTTTTGGGGGGTTTATAAAAATTGTAGAGTTTAATAACGATGAACACTTAAATGATTACGACTATACTTATAGGTGATAGGTGTAAGTTGTGAAAAATACCATTAAAAACCCGGTTTTCGGGTTTCATGTACAGATATTATGTATATTGTGATGAAAGCTCAATCTGTCCTGCAGCTTTAAAATAACGTTGTTAAAACAATAGAATATAAGTAACGTTAATGGTATATCAATAACGGTATCTTTCAGTGTAATTTAACAAGGTATAGAAATAAAATGAAGATGTGCATCAGTATAGGAGTATTTTCAATGCAAACATTCTCCTATAGTCGCCCGTCTTGTATTTGTATTATGATAGGAAGAAGGAATATTATTTCTAAATGTTTACTCTCTTCTCGTGTTAAAATGGAAATCTAGACGCGAACGTGCTTACGCAATACATGGCAGCAAGTCGTTGATTTGAACGAAATGAAAATTAAACAAGAAAGATTACTTGAGTTTCCCGCCTTTGAGAGTTTTAAAGGAAGGCGGGGGGATTTCCCGCCTTTGAGGGTTTTAAAGGTGGGGGGGGGCGGGGATTTTCACCAAGTAATTAAATATCTTTAGCCCACAGAATGAAGAGGGGCACATAAACAGGGTTTGGGTTTGGCAGATTAACCCCGCACTAACATCCGATCATTTACAAAGCTTCTCCTGCTGCACCGAACAGTCGGATATATAATATATGCACGTGTCATGATAACCTTTGGCAGTCACAATCTCATTAACAGAAGTAAACAGTTTGGTTTAATAGTTGATAAATTCTTATATTCAACGATTCCGGAAATACCTATTTTGAATGTATGATGCAGAATAACGGAAACGAAACTATTAATCGTATGTGACAATACGTATCACTGGGATTCAGCTGGTGGAAATAACAATTACTTTAAAGTATTCTGACTGTCTATCGACTATTCCTCAAAGGTTTTACTGGAAAAATAGGCTACTGTTGTGGGGCTTTATCCTTCTACGCCCCCAGAACGTTAAACTGACATGTATTCCAGATTTTGTAATTAAACGATTATAGACTAACTGATAAAAAAGATTCAGATTTCAGACCACTTGTCAGAAAATTATTTGGCGGCGAGTAAGGAATTCAAAATCTAGAAAAAAAGTTTTTTCTGACCGGGGGCGGGGGACTTAACGACCCGGCATATAATATTAGGGCAATACAGACTAATCTTGACCTTGCACGCGTGCCATTAGGTCCCACCGTCCCTGCAGATCATGTGCGATTGGATTATGCCAATGGTATATTCAAACACTTCATGACAAATCAAAGATTATATTTGCATGCCGATCGCCAAAGTAAGGATTCCTCTTTAGTGGTCAATCATAGGCAACGATTAGACTTTTTTTTTGAAGCTAAAACAAGTGTTAAAAAAATCGTCATCTCAGTTTTTCCTAATAGTGCTGCATTATGTTAAATCAAGTGATAAAGAAAATAACTAGTTTGACATTACCTTCCTATCGCAGATCTTTCTGTAGGTCTGAAATGTTATCTAAATTATTAATTGGACATTAATTAACATATCCAAACCACAATCAACTCTTGGTGTCATCTTATGTGTCGGATTTTCACTGGATTTGAATCCGATCTGCTGCTTAACACTCATTAAATCCAAAAGTGCATAATTGAGACTGTTTTTTTTATCGTATCGAGAACGACTTTAGTAATGATGATCGAGGCTAGGCTTAAAATTCAAAAGCTAATATCTCGATTCAGAGTGGAGCAATTTGACTGAAATTTTCAACATATTCAATTTACGTTATCTATTTTTTAACTATTATAGCGTGAACAGTCAACTGTTTATCTAATCTCCCATAATGCCTCTTCAAGTTGTATTATTTATTTGTATCAAACGACAAGCTACATGTAGTTCACTTCTGAACAGTGTAAAAATATAAGTTAATATGAGTTGATTCGATAGTAAATCTTACAGAAGTGGGAATAATTCTAGTTTTATGTGTAGTGTTAACAAAGTTTTATTATATCGCCTGATTCTCTTTGGATTTATTTGTACATTGTTACGTAAAATTGTTTTTTGTTTGTTCTAATTTTTGGTTTCGAATCCCCGGTTGTACGTGACAAGGAGTAGGGTCGCCTGTCCAACCTCGTGGTTTTTCTCCGGGTCCTCCGGTTTCCTCCCACTGCTAAATACCCCTACGCGCAAGCGAATTATTGAAATAAAATTAAACCATATGTTAGTCCCGAAATGACCTAGTTTGTGTCGAGTGGACGTTAAACCCCATTTCTCTCTCTCTTTGTTCTAATTTTGTAGGAAATATATTTAAAAAATAGAACTATTTCGTCTTGGAATGCTTTTAAAATGTTTTTATTTTCCTACATAAAATTTAGTATTCTTTGAAGACATTTTTTCTTTGTTTCATCTCAGGGCAATTGGCTGAATCTGTTGAAACTTTGTCAGATAGTATAGTGCCAGTCCCATTTGGCACACTAATCAGAATGGTAAGAGTGTAATTGTGATATCAGACCGCTTCTCACCGGGGAGTTACCATCACCCGGCTAATTAGTTGTCTCAATCGTTTCTGCACTCAATAAGACTCGCTAAGTCGAGCCAATTACCGTAGGCCTGTAAAATGAATAATGGATCTTCAACTATACCCAGTTCTTGAGTTACTCACTTTCCATCTTACATAATTTAAATGTTAACCTGTATATTGAATATGTAAAATATAAATAGTCGCATAACCTCCAAAAGTCCTGAGTGGGCGTTTCTTATTATATGTGTTTGATTTTACAAGGACAATATTCGGATTTAAAATACAGCGTAAAGGGGGGTCAGTTTTGACTATGTTTACTTCCTAGACTAACAGCCTGTATTATATGACCCCGCTTCCCTTCCATATATCAATATAGAGATGCAAATTTATGTTTCAGGTTGCTAGTCCATGATTGCCCTCGACTGTAAACCCACCTTGTTCTTATAGAGTTTGTATTAAAGAAAAGTCGACGGTGGGCGATGATGTACAGAGTTTTGACTTAAATTTAGCCCGGCGTAAATTATTTTTAAAAAACCACGACTCCGTCAGTTATCATCGAAAACCCGAGGTCTCGTGTTATTTGTTACGCATTTTGACTGATCTCGGCAAATACTAATCCACCCGAGAACTCATGAATAAAAAGTATAACAAGTTTCATTAAAATCGGAAATAATGCACAAGAAAGTGTTCACGAACCGACGCTAAATTGTTTTTTTTTTCAACCCAAAGTTATCCTTCAATTCTTTCTTGTCCCGGGCACTTTTGATCTAGTATCTAGTTCTGATTGATGTTCTTGATTGGTAATAAATTATTACCTCTTATTGTTTCAAAATATTTTGGGCCTACATGCACATTGCCGTTAATATATAAAGAAATAAAGGATGGTCCCTTTAATCTCCTTTAAATGGTTTTAGATCATTGCGCTTTAGCCTGAAGGAGTTTAACACTAATGGTGAGATTAATACAATAAATACGTCAGGAATTTCTCTCTCTCTCGGTTTAACATTCCCATAATAAAACACACAAAGATACGCAGTAAAAGAATCCTTAATAAAAAAAAATGGATAGTCGGTACAACGACATAGGACTTTTATTTAGTGATATATACTAAGCACCAGTTCACATTTATTATATTTGACAAACACTTATCGTCGTGACAAATAAAGCGAGAAGAAAAAATTAATCAAACATGAAACTAGGTTATGCTTACAAAAAAGGAAGAAAAGTGAAAAGGGTTTAGGGCAAGATAAAATGTTACATTTTGTTTCTGTTTTGTATTATTAGATTCTACATCTAAATAGTGAAACCCGATTCGCTGTGTATCTAACTTGGTCGTTATGATACAATGAGTCCGTAATGCCCTAAATTGTTTCTGGTTTTCTGATTGCATACACAAAACTTTGCTGTCGGTAGCTTGCTCTATTACAGAGAGCTATATTAACGTTATAAATGAATGAATGTGTATATTAAGATGAATTCCTATAGATGCAAATATCGAACACTCTAAAGAGCAAATTATTGGTTATAATGAATGTATGCAGATTCGCGTTATGTTATAGTGGGAAAGTGAAAATTGAACAAAAATAGTACTTTTAACCGATTGTTTCCATCCAAAGATACCCTTTATTGCCTTGCAAATAGTATCTCTGGACACATTCGACTCCGCCAGACTCCTATGTAGTATTGTATACTGATCAAACAAACATATGCCCTAAAAGAGCAAGAACAAAAATTCAAATATTTAGCACCAATTTCTGATAAAGACAATGATATGAATGGGGAGATTTTGAATTTTAGATTAATTGTATGCTTGGGTATATGAGGGATAAGTGTGTTGTTTGGCCTGCGGGTAATGTCTGCGTGGAGAACCTTCCGGAAGATCCGTGGAAGACCAGATAACCGCCGTTTAGACTCATCTAGAGCAATTTCAATTTATTTAAAGGTGTGTGCAAATACAATTTGTTTGTAAAAATTTAACTACCGTGCGTAATTATAATTAAATATGAAAATAAAATTTGCCTCATCGAAACTGGAAGATACAATAAAACAGAGTTATAGCGTCGGCAGTACACAAAAGTCAAAGCTTTGTTTCAAAGCATATATGTATTTTAGTTTATTGTGTGGCAGTGGAAATAATTGTCAGAACAACGATATCGCGAATTCGTAAAAGACTTGCAATTCAAGGGAAGTAACTCTATATTAACCGTACTATGGCGGATACAGACCGCATTCAATTTACAATAAACTGTTTTAATTCGTTCAACTTCTTTCATGAGCATTTAGTAATTGAACATATTAACACTGGGTACAATTTTATGGATACAAAATTATTGAATTTATTACTATTCAATACAGTTCTATATTTGAAAACAGATATGTGTGAAAAAGCCTAAGTAAAAATACATAATTTATACAGCACATACATGTACTTTATCTCAAATTAAAATATAGATGCGACGCCATCCTTTGATGTTAGCATACCATTATATCAAATAATACTACGGGCAACTTGTCAATGGTACATTACTGAAATATTGGACTCACATGTCGATTTCATTGAAATGCAGGTATGTGATAGTGTATCTTCTTCACAAAATATTTGTTAATACATCTTGATCAAAAAATCTAAGTTATATACTATTTCTAGTCGGCTTTTATCAGCTATTTGACCGGCAGATGTTATCTCTCCTCCATCCACCAAAAAATTCATGTTTGCATACGAAAAATTAGAGAACTGAAACTGAATTACAGTATGTAAAGTTTATTTCATTATTAATGATTTATATTTCTGAAGTTTGAAATCACCTACAGCACACCAGTTTCTAAATGGAGCCCTTTTATTTTCACATAATTCTGAATGAATTATTCTTCATAGGTGTAATATCTTTTAGCTTATAAATCTTCTTGTATTAACATTTGTCATACTAACAGTATATATCGAAATAGAGTTTAAATTAACATCTGTCTAATTTCATAATTCACTCTAAACATCCACATAAATGTCATATATCTAGTTCAGTTCTGATACAAATGTTCAGCTGGTAGCAATCCTTTATTCTCCCTAAAACATAAGATATAATATGTCATTAAAATATACATTTATGCTTCAAATTTTAACTTTTTATTTCAAAACACTTTATAATTAAATTATTTTGAAGATGGTAATGTAACCAAAGATATTTTATTTTTTGCTTAATGTTTAAATTTTGCATAGAATTGCTCATTGTAATATACTGAGAGCTTTTTTCACAACCTGTTCTTTGTATTTTTTCTAATATTTTGTACACAGAGATAATTGAGTTTTGTGCAGTTGTCTTCACATTTTAACGTGCATTACCTATTAAGACAAGTTTGATAGATCTGTATCCAAAGCTGGATTTCTATTTTATATTCACATGGAAGATTTCCTATTTAATTCAGGAAAAGACAAGGGAAATAACCCCTGTTTTGATGCCAAGATAAAACCATGCATGTTTCAGAAAATTTAAACAAGAAGTTTTCATATCTTATCAAAGAAGAAAAACTGTTATCCCACAAAATAAGTAATAGTTATATACCTTGTTTTCAAGGTGTATGGGTTGATACACCGTCTCTTTTTTGAGTGTATCAACCCATACACCGAGAAAACAAGGTATATAACTGACTTATACTAAATACTTTTTCGAGAAATAGAGATTTTTTTCTATTTTTCCCAATTTCAAAAGCATTTTTCATTTCACAAATTTATCAAAGTTTCCCATTCAGAGCCCCCCAATTATCTCATCGCAAACGCTTATTTCTACTCAGGTAAATGATGTCAGTACACCGCACGTGCATTTCACGGTTTAAATCAGGTCAGGGAAAATGTTCATAACAGGGATATTGATTGGTTGAGATAAGCAAACGTCATCCAATCATTTTGTACAATAGCCATTTCTTGTTGTTTTGCCAACATCCTGGCTGCGTCGATTGTAGTGGATGGCAGAAATGAATGCGGGAATTCGTCGAAGAATCCTACTTTATAATGTCACAGATATATATTTCTAAGACCGAGAATATCAGTTCTGCAAGAGATGTCAATGGTCGCGAAGATTTAGAAGCCCGATCCTTCACAGAACAAAAATTAAAGCCATGCAGATGAGTCGAATTCCGACAAACACAAGGATTAATACCAATTGCATAGGAATATGGTGACACTTCCAGATCAGTACAAAAGATTGGATTTTAACTTTTTTGATAAGCAAGGTACATTTGCTAATTTCCGCACAGATCAATTCATTAACTTCGCGAGGTATTGACATGCACTGACAGACAAAAACAAGAACAGCCATTAAATGAAGACGAGTTGGAATTGTAGAGTTCTCAAGTTTGTAGTGTAGAAAATGCCAATGGATTAATTTATACTAGTAATATATTTGGATTACGTGCTGCGGATGAGCATAAACTGCGACAAAATGTGAAATTTTTTAGTGTTGAAAATGCCAAGAGATTAATTTATAATAGTAAAATATTTGGATTATGTGCTGCGGATGAGCATAAGCCGTGACAAAATGTGAAAGTGCGACCAGATATCAAAATGCAAAGACATGTGAGTGAAAATGTAAGAATATGACTGAGAGTGACGCACATTCAAAAAGTGCTGAGACAGTTGAAAATGATGACTCTTTTACCATAACATGTTCAAAACGGGTTGTAGATGTTCAAATAAATATGTAAATCATGATTTTGTCCCTTTTCAACTGATACACGGCCACTTTTCAACTGATACACGGTCACTTTTCAAAAGTGACCGTGAAAAGTGTCCGTGTATCGGTGTATACCCTCCCATTTTCATCAAAGAGTCGAGAAAAAGTATGGGTATAAGTATAAATATACATGAAGACTAAGACAACAATACATGTACATGTATTTACAATCACATTTAAATTATTAACACACAAATTACTTACTTTTCTTCTGTTAGAAGTTTATGCACTTGCCAGTGATGTCTATTTTCTTGTGTTTCATTCAAAGCATAAAGAATTCCATATAATGCACAACCTGCCACAGATCTGATAAAATAAATATTATTGTAAGCAATTAAAATAATGTGATATTAAACAAAATAATGTGATATTAAATAAAATATTGTAAGTATATAAAATAAAATAATGTGTTAACTGCAACATATCAAAGGTCACTTTACTTTTTAAATGCATTTATGTTCTGTAAAATAACAAAATGAATTACAAAGTAGTCATCACTGTAATTTATAATGTTGTCAAATAGGCCTGCAGTCAAAATTTCTAGCACGAAGTTCTGCTACAAGGTCCTCCCTAATAAACAAACTATACATTTTTGGAAAGCTTATAACACTAGGAACACAAATCCTGAGAGTTCCAAGCAAAATGTCTGCAATAACTTGATTTAGAGCCGGATGAAAATTGTGATAATAGTTCCATTTTGAAACAATATAAAAATTCCATGCTAACATTTTATAATCAAATTTGTGAAAATAGTAAAGATCCTTACCCAACAACTGCACCAAACGCACCACCAGCAACCATACCTTTAAGACCCATGGACGCCCTTAAAATCCCACAAGTCACAACTAAAAGAATATAATGAGTACTTAACTGATAATAATATAAAAAATAGACGAAAATATTGTTAATGACATAACACATGACAGAATAATACACTAATACTTATTATAGCTTTCCGTAAAGACAAGGGACTCACAAATAGTTTAACCTCTAAATAGTAGATTTGGATTGTCATTTGACTCTCCCTTTCTAAACGTAATAGTAAATTTGGATTATATTGTTTAATTTCAGACTGGTGGTTTGAAACAATATTCATTATACAAGCTAAAGTGACTTTCATTGCTCAATATAATACTGAATGAAGAGTTAAAATAGTAACTAACCACAGCCAATTATATATTCTAAAGGGGATGATTTGTTTCTATATACAGCTATAGCTTGTGAAGTTCCTCTGTAATAAAATGATATAGTAATTAATAACGTGTAGGAATAACCAGCAGTTGCCAGGCATGAAACACACACATTTTGCAAGAGATGGATAGAGAACAACCTAAAAAAAATGTGATTTTTTGTACAATCAGGGGCCATAATCCAAGAAGTTACGGTCGATATGCACTAATATCGAAAGGAACTGAGATCTTTTGGATATAACCATACATTTTAAGTTTCATCAAGATCGGATAAAAACTGTGACTTCTAGAGGGTCCACAACCTTGGTATTACATACTTTTACAATATTTGTGTACAAGTAGCTGCCATTTTGTCAAGCAGTTTTGGGCCAATTTTCACGAGATTCGAACTTAACCATCATTAGTGTGCAACGGTTATATATTTAAACAGCTTTTTAAATCAGAAAAAATGTGACCTCTAAGGTCCGATATGCGCGAACATCAAAAGAAACTGAGATCTTTGGGTTATGAACACGAATTTCATCAAAATCAAATAAAAATTGTGACTTCTAGAGGGTCCACAACCTTGGTATTACATACTTTTATACTATTTGCGTACCAAGAGGGGCCATTTTGTCTGAATTTAACCCTTAGGACCCTAGCTTCTGAAAGACCGGCTGCGGATGGCTCTTGACTGGAGTACCGAGCTCTGGCCGCCACGGGTACCTGTTCGACCAATCTGTAACGAACAGGTACCCGTGGTGGCAGCTATACCAGTTGCTCGGTATTCTGGCCAAGCTATTCCAACTGGTTTTTCGGCTGCTCGGGTCCTAAGGATTCATAATATGACCCCCCCCAAAAAAATTGGGGGTCCATTTTTTCCTTGAGAGGCTAGTATATAGACCTAATGTCGTTCTGGGCGTTGGTGTCCAAAGGGTTATGGTACTTACATAAATAAACCAGTAAATACTGTCGATCGAAGTGCAATTCTTGATCCTTCTCTTATACCTTCAACCATTATAGCATCATTAAATCTTCTCTATAAATATATGTCATATCAAATGAACAGTTTAATTCAAAATTATTACACTTAACACAAGCCAAAGTGGGCTGGCATTAGTTTTCTAGAAAAGGTAAAGGTAACATTCCCACTCATTATTAAAGGTAATAAATCTAAATAGTTCAAAAATAGTTCAAAATTCAGGAAGTTATGATCTGATACAAGCGAATATCAAAAGGAACCAAGATCTTTGGGTTATAAACATGCATTTCAAGTTTCATCAAAAATAGGTAGAAACTGTGAAGCTAAAAATGTGATTTTTGAACATTCAGGGGCCATAATCCATGCAGTTGTGGCCAGATACTAAAAGGAACCGAGATCTTTCATCAAAATCGGATAAAAATTGTGACCTGTAGAGTGTCCACAAAGAGGGCCGACGGCGTAATATGTCGACATAAAAATGTGGGTGTATAAAAAAGCAAATAGAAAAGTGATTTTTTATTTGTTTTATAACAATTGCTTTTTGCTTTGGCAACAATTTTACAAACCTTAGCAAACCTAAGGAATTTGAAAAAATAATTCTCATAAACTATGACTGGTAGACTGTTTATTTAGTGACAGAGGCAATAACTCTGAATTTCTATAGGGCTTCTAGACAAACAATCCAAACAAGTTTGGAAAAAAATCACAATGGGCATAGGTGACCACAATAAACTCCCATATTCACCCTGAGATTTCATCTCGCAATTTCTCTGAAATGTTAAATTGATGCACATTTAAGTGATGTATAATAGGTTTTGATGTTTAATATCAATTATTTTGATCAGTCTGCCAGCTAACCTGGTAGACCAACAATTACTATCAAGTGTGGAAGTGATCAATTAGTTGATGTGTATTATTAACATTACTTTGGGATGTATTGAAATAGAGTTGTTATAAGCCTCTATCTTGTTATTTTATCCATGACTGAAATGTAGGCGTATAAAAATGAAGGATCCATACCATTGCTTGAAACCTTGAAGAAAAAACAGTTGCTTGATGTTTACGAGCAAATTCCTCTTTATAATTTTTTGAAGCCAGGTAACTCGCCAGAATAAAACTCACGACACCAGCCTGAATCGTAGCGTAAGTAACCAATTTGAACTCAAAGGGATATTCACCATACAAACTTTAAAGAAAAGAAAATATTGAACACATTTTATACTGTCTAATCAATTAGTTATCACTTATGGCAAACAAAATTATATTGATAATTGAACTAATGAACATTAAATCTAATGGCCTTTTTTCCGTCGAGTTGTCAAAGGAGGACAAGTCTGGGGGCTTGAGCTGACCCTATTATTCCAAAAGATTTGACGTTGAGCATTAATTACACCCTTAATTTTCTTGACTGCTACAAAATAATGACCCAGAACTTGCATGGGCGTGGATTTAGGGGGGACGAATAGGTTTCTGTCCCCCCCACGATTTTGATTGCAAGGATAGATTTTCAGGTTTATATCCACATGAATGACCTGTTCGGAAGGCTATCTAACCACTGCCTTGAGTCTCGCCACAGTTACTGATCTTCACAATATCTTCCTCCTTAATTGACCAATCGCAGCTGTCAATCAAAATAATAAATCAATCAATCAAAAAACGCTGTGTTCCTCAGTATGTCACTTGAAGTGAGGGAGATGTTCCCTTCTGTCTAAGCTCTTCTCCGCCTCACACTGCTGAACCTTGCTGGTTCCTGCTCAGCCGAGCGATCCTTCATGATCAGGACCCAAAGCATTTCGCCAAGATATTCATAGAGAACAGTCATGATCGTAGAATGAACGTCTTTCGACGATTCACTTAACTTCATGAACAATTAATATTTGTGCAGCTTTCATGTAGGTAGTCAATTTTTCCATATCGACATCATATTACCCCTAGTTACAGCTTTCATCGAAATAACACTGGTACAGAAAACTGTACGTAATTATTATTTTGGTTTAGTAATGAAATGTTCAAGGGTTCGTCCGGCCCCCACAAAAGTTATGACAAATCCACGCCCTTCAGTACTAGTAAGTAATGACACATCATACAATTATTTGAATAATAATAATTTGTGGAATAAATAGACATTACAGTGTATTATACAATTCTTGCAAATTTTCCTTGGAAGTAACTTGTTACTTGGAAGTAACTTGGTTTTTTTATCATAATGAGGTTCTATTGGGGTTGTATTACTAAGCACAACATACATAATACATAATGTGGTCTAATAATATATCTTTTTTGTACTCAACAAGGTCAAACATGCATGAGTTTCACAAATTTCCACAATAATATATTTAGTATTTCAAAAATTACCACACACAACAAAATGTATGAGTAATTCATCATCTTGTTGATACTCAATTTAATTCAACAACCATTTTAATTTTAACATTATCAAATACTGTGTTGTCACGGTGACACTAGCAAAACATCAACCAAAGAATTGCAGACAGTGGTTCCACAAAATTCAGCAAATCATCATAACAGATCCTAATTTATTTGACACAGATACCCTAGAAAGGTACAATATTTCAGACTATCAAACAACTCATGCGGATCTGTGCATAAGTAGACTTACTCTTTTGTAAACACATTTCTAAGTCTATCTTTTCCAGTTTCGTTACTTATGTAATCATTAACTTCCATCTCCGTTACTATAGCAGAAGATATCTCTGTATTTGTCCCATTCCTTTCCATTCTATCTGTAGCTGTGGGTGTAACTATCGGTGTAGGAAAGGAGTCAGCATACACTTTAAACATAGAGAATACATTTAAACTGGATCCCTTTTTAAACCTTCCTGGATTATTAATTGAATATTGAGGGATAACAATTTCTGAATTCTCAGAGGCACAGTTTTTGAAAATTTGTCTTTCAATAAAGTTTCTCATTGTTTCCATTTTTAAATTTTACTATAATAAATCAATTCATTCAACTGTCTCTGATGGATGTCATCTCTGAAGAAGTTCAATCATCATTCTCTGAAATATATTAAAACATTACATGACCTTCATGTAAGCTAATACATGTTATATTTTAAAGATACATTCCCGGGTACAAACTGGGTGATTTGATCATATATTTGGACCAAAAACATATTCAAACTAATTATTTTATCATAATTTTGCTTCAAATCCTTCTCAAAACATTGCAATTGTCAGGGAATACCAGACTATAAAAAATCGATCAAAATAGGTCATGTTTGTGTCACGTGACACAACGGGTGCGATGACGGAGGAGAATTCATTGCATACACAAGACGATGTTGCCTTTATCACTGACTATTTATTACAAATATCGAAGCCTAATTAAATTCTCGGATTATCCACTGTCCGCGTCTTTTTCCGTGATTTTTATCTCAGAAAGTGTTGTATGTCTAACTCTTCACAAAGTTTATCAACATGTACAAGTTTATCAACAAGCGCTCAGTATCCGCATGCAACCTTCGACGTCACGCATGCAGACAGTCCTAATCGTCGATCTGTCGATTAGGGAAACACGTACAATTTTGCCCTGTATGCGCTCCATGAGTGTTTTTCAGGGAATCCAGTATTTTTCTAGTTAGATTGGATATTTCTACTTTCCATATACATATACCAAAATTGCCATACTTTTTATATAAATAACCACCCGATAATTACTTTTCTGGGAATGTAGCTTTAAACAGTGCGGATAAATCTATATACATGTAATAAAGGTATCACTGCTGTTTGGATTTAAAGGTATGGTGTACCGTATCGAGAATCTGTTCCACCTTCTGAACTTATTTTTATCTAATAACATGATATATCTACAATGATCAGAAATAAATGAAATGAAATGAAATAGGGTTTAACGTTTTACCATTCTGCTCCAACCGGGATAATGAAGACAGGCATATGCCATAGTACAAGGTGCTAAGAGGGAAATTTTGCCCGGACAGTGGCACTATGGCCTACTCTTATATCAAATTCGAAATGCCAAGGGGGATCTTTTACATGCACGTCAATGTATACACAGGACCTTGGTTTTTTGTCCAATCCGAATGACTAGACAGCTGTCCTTGTCAGGCCCTCCGTCCTGCACCACTGACAAGGGGGGAACCATGCTGGAAAATCAAGATGAACTTTCTCGGCCAATGCATGGATAATACACCCATCCTCCAGACTAGCGAGCTAGCGTCTTACCCACCGTGACTCCCACTCAGAAATATGCAAGAGATGGACAGAGAACAAGCTAAAAAAAAGCAATTTATCATACAATCAGGGGCCATAATCCAGGAAGTTACAATCTAATATGTGTGAATTTCCAAAGGAACCAAGATCTGTGGGATATAAAAATATAGTTTAAGTTTATAAAAAGTGTCCTCTAGCTAAAAACGTGATTTTTCGTAAAATCAGGGGCCATAATCCAGGAAGTTACAATTCGATATGCGCAAAGATCGAAAGGAACCAAGATCTTTCGGACATAAACATATATTTTAAGTTTCATCAAAATCATATAAAAATTGTTACCTCTAGAGGGTCCACACAACCTTGGTATTACATACTTTCATACAAGGAGCGGTCATTTTGTCAGGCAGTTTCGGTCTGATTATCAGGAAATTCGAACTCAACCATCAATAGGATGTCACATTGATATATTTAAATGGTTTTTAAAATCAGATAAAAATTGTGACCTCTAAGCTTAAATCAATCGCGATTTTTTCGTACAATCATGGGTCATAATTCAGACATTATAGTCCTATATATGCGAATATTGACGGGAACCGAGATCTTTAGGATATAATCATATATTTCAAACATACATTATGCAAGAACTAAATCTGCCTATTGCATGTCTTTCTTTAGGCCTGAAATATTATCTTAATTATTAATTAGACATTAATTAACTTATCCTGACCATAATCAACTCTTGATGTCATCGCTAGCCTGCAATATTTACTGGATTGGAATCTGATCTGCTGCTCAATCCTCATTGATGATTAAATCAAAAAATGGATAATCGAGACTATGTTTTTAATCGTACTGACTTTGGTTCCCTTAATAATTTGTCCTTCAACTGGCTGGACTAACCGCTACTTGTTTGCTGTGAGAGTCTAAAAGTATGAATTGTGTACGAAAGTGCATTAGCACCAGAAATTATCATTCCGGTGGCAGTACAGTATCTCTATCGGTTTAAATTTATGCATAATTCAGCTCTGAACTTAAGCTCTTGTTACACTCGCCCTGCACAGCTCTGAACGTAAGTTCTCGTTACACTTGCCCTGTAGGCCTGCGTTCAGGAACCAGCCTATGCAAGCTATTATTGACTAGTCCTTGTCGGAAGTCTTTTAGCTCCCAGTAAATTTTACTGGGCAACTTTATACTGCTAAACGGTCACTTGTCAGCTCCTGTGAACGCCTGTACAATGTAAAAGAACATTTTAGTGAGAAAACAAGACCTTGCCTACCCCACTAGAGTCAGTATGTGCCGGGCGAGTATAATGAGGCCTACGTTTAGAGCTAAACTAGGTTACACATCATCAATCTGATTAAAATACAGATCTACCGTTTTGTTTTTTTTACATGCACATGAAGATCTGACCAGTTGTAGTGGGAGGTTGCATCAGATATTTGATCAACCAATCAGAATTGATGTTTCTAGTAGGATACCCACAGTTCTGTGTGCATTGTACACCAAGAACTTGCTGCGACAGAACGTTTCATTGGCTAATTGTTCACATCAACCAGAACGCAGGTTATAATATAACAACTCTTCCAGATCCTAGTGTAGTAAAGACAAGTAAAACGAAATTTTGAACTATAAAAAACGAAACAAAATACTATCTGATCAGATTGGTAACACATGAATGAATAATGAATGATGATGTCTGATAATGATCATGATGTCTACCGTACGTAACTAATGTACGAAAATTAAATGGTAGCTGGCTTCTCCGCAGGTAGCGTGTCTCTCTCTGATGTTCAGAATGGATGTCTACGTGATTTTATATAGGCCTATTCATTCAATGATAGGCTAGCTGGTTACAGTTTAAATGAGACAATCGTGCCAAGACGTAAATTACCCTTTCCGAAATTATAATATAACTATAAGACAGCTTTAATTCAATGTTCTTATAAAAGATAATTATTTCATACAAATCCTTTCATTCATAATTACAATACTTTCACTTTATACTCTTCAAGGTCACAGGAAATGACATTAGATCTTCACCTTTACTTCCGCCCTTAGTCTCCCTTATCCAGACAGAGCGTAAACGTCAACCACGATGAGGCAAACCGGGTAGTGATTTGGTGATTTGGGTAGCAAACACCGAAAATCAGGTAGATCTGGCATATAATCCTTTGTAAGCTTTGGTGACCTGTCTCATTCTTTATATAACTTAAAATTTAAAGTCTAAGAACGGGCTATGTTATCTCTAATTCAAAAAGTTTGGTGTTCATATCTAGAACAAAAAAAAAAAATGAAAGTAGACATTCACATAGAACAGTCTTATGCAGTAGCCACACAGAAAACTAACTCCTGAGCAAGACACATCACACACATAAGACACAAATAATTTTTTAAAAAGTTAATAAAAACACAATCAAATAAATGTGTTGTGTTTCTTGGAGTTCAGAAGATGACTTGTCTTCAGTCTTGTATTGTAGGCCTATAGTATTTTGACATCAAATGAATTTTGAAAGCTGTAGTTTTGTAGGCTATCCCGGTACCCATCATAGGCTACTATTCATTTTGAATGTTTAGATGGTTATTGCAAAGTGATTTACTATCATTTTGAACATAACCAATTCTAAGCCACAAATCGAATATTATGTTGGCGTGTACTGGGTAGAAGAAATCACCATCTATCTTTCTGGAGAAACTTCAAGCACTGTTCATGCAATATCTGTTCTTTCATTGGGATTTAATGGCCGCTCCCACCATAGGTAATATCGCAGACAAGTGTTGCCTAGGAAACTTGCAAGAGCCAGTCGTAAATACCATTCTAGTTTAGCACAAGGTTTACTGCCATTTCTTTGATTAAAGGCGCAACTCTGCCTTTTGAGATACAGTATCCAATGGTGTTGTTAGAGACCATTCATAAACCACTCCCAGGCATTGCTCCTGAGGTGAAGTGGGTTAAATAAAGCCTAATTAGGACTGCCAGGTAGATGGCATGCAAGTACCGCCTGGCCCGTGTTGTCACTCTAGCTCCGATCTAGAGAGGACCAATTCATATTAAGGTTGTGCGTCGACTTGCAGTTTGGAAAGTGTTATGAATGATTTGTAATACCATGTTGATGTTGTCTTGACTCAAATCAAAATACACGTATTGCAATACAGGATCTTCCATAATACAAAATTCAGCACATGGTTATCTATAATTTCACCCATGGTTGTCTTAATTTATCAAAACACACCTTCTATCATTGAATTGATCTAAACAAAAGATTTTACTGTACTGAGACAGGTATTTCTCCACAATAATCAGACATTCAAATCAGAAAATGTTTATGAAGAAATGCAAAATTGTTCTTAAGACCTATCTGTTCAAAACAGATTTCGTAATATGTAGCAAAATGAGTGGCTGTATTGTGCAATCTATTGCAATATGCGATTTTCAGGTTACAATACACAGCTGGTGTACTCTGTGCTACAATTTACTGATAAACTCCAATGTTTTGCGTCAATAATATGCTTCAATTTGCAATAGAAATTTCAGTTATACTGTAAAATATAAGCTTATATGCTGCAGCCATTAAAGCTGTTAAAAAAGTAAAATGAAAATATTAACATATAAAATGACTTGACAGTGACCATTAAGCCATCCTATTGTATTTTGGAAGTTTTACAGTGTTTGTGTTATGTCTTCATAGATTAATTGTCCCCCCCCTTTCGAAGAAAGCAGGGGACTATTAAAATGGGTTCGTCCGTCTGTCTGTCCGTCTGTCTGTCCGTCACACTTTTTGGGACACAATAACTCTCTTCCTAATTGAGCTAGAATGTTCAAACTTGGTGTATGTGTTTATTCGGTCAATGCCTTGATGGAGTTCGAAGATGAGCATTTTCCGCTTAGGGTAAGCAGAGATAAGCAATTTGATTGGTTGATGCTTTGGGACACGATAACTCTCTTCCTAATTGGGCTAGAATGTTCAAACTTGGTGTATGTGTTGATTAGGTCAATGCCTTGATGGAGTTCGAAGATGAGCATTTTCCGCTTAGGGTAAGCAGAGATAAGCAGTTTGATTGGTTGATGCTTTGGGACACGATAACTTTTAATTGAGCTAGAATGTTCAAACTTGGTGTATGTGTTTATTAGGTCAATGCCTTGATGGAGTTCGAAGATGAGCATTTTCCGCTTAGGGTAAGCAGAGATAAGCAATTTGATTGGTTGATACTTTGGGGCACGATAACTCTCTTCCTAATTGAGCTAGAATGTTCAAACTTGGTGTATGTGTTGATTAGGTCAATGCCTTGATGGAGTTCGAAGATGAGCATTTTCCGCTTAGGGTAAGCAGAGATAAACAATTTGATTGGTTGATGCTTTGGGACACGATAACTTTAGTTCTAATTAAGTGAGATTGATGAAACTTGGTGTATAGTTTCATTACAGTAATACCTTGTTATCTAAATTATCCCCCTTTGGTGATACAGTTTTTAGCATATAAACTAGATAATAATTATTCGGTTGACACACAATCAACGGCATAGAATACAGATGGCACAAGCTATAATAATTATTGATATAAAATATTATTTTATCGCAATTTAGCTGATATATAACTGGATAGCCCTCATAAATAAGTAGTGGAAGGAGGGAATCGATTTTCATATTCCGTTTTCCTGCAAATGTTATTTAACTTCTTTATTATATAATATTTGTATTTTTGTCCCCCGCCTTTCGAAGAAAGCAGGGGACTATTAAAATCGGTGTGTCTGTCCGTCCGTCACACTTTTTGGGACACAATAACTCTCTCTAACTGAGCCAGAATGTTCAAACTTGGTGTAGGTGTTTATTAGGTCAATGCCTTGATGGAGTTCAAAGATGAGCATTTTCTGCTTAGTGTAAGCAGAGATAAGCAATTTGATTGGTTGATGCTTTGGGACACGATAACTTTAGTTCTAATTAAGTGAGAGTGATGAAACTTGGTGTATAGCTTCATTACATCAATACCTTGACTAAGTTCGATAATGAGCATTTTCTGCTAAGGGTAAGCAGAGCGATAAGCAATTTGATTGGCCGAGACTTTGGAACACAATAACTCCCCTTCTAAGTGAGGTAGAATGTTCAAACTTGGTGTAGGTGTTAATTAGGTCAATGTCTTGATGGAGTTCGAACATGAGCATTTTGTGCTTAGGTTAAGCAGAGATAAGCAATTTGATTGGTCAAGATTTTGGAACACAATAACTCTCATTCTAGTTGAGTTAGAATGTTCACACTTGGCGTAGGTGTCTGATAGGTGAATGCCTTGATGGAGATTGAAGATGAGAATTTTCTGCTTAGGGTAAGCAGGGATAAGCAATTTGATTGGTTGATGCTTTGGGACACGATAACTTTAGTTCGAATTAAGTGAGAGTGAGGACACTTGGTGTATAGCTTTATTACATCAATACCTTGACTTAGTTCGATAATGAATATTCTCTGCTGTCATGTCATGGCTGAGTTCAATGATTTACATTAGTCGATGCTTTGGGACAAGATAACTTTGATTCTATCTGATGGAGAGTGCTGAAACTTAGTGTATAGTTTGATTGCTCGATACTTTTGAAAAAAATAAATGTGCGATTAATAAATATGTGTCATCTATTTATTTTTGGATTTCGCCGGGGGACATCAGCCTCACTGTTGGCTTGTTCTACCTGTGAGATTTTGTAAGAGATTCTATTGAATGTGGTCACGGTTCACCATTGTTCTTTGGTTGAATACTTATACCCTAAGAATCAATATGTTCACACATGTTAGGTTTCTAAGGACTTGCATAAGCAGGTTGTGTTTTGAAAGAAAAATAGTTTGATCATGTTATATATTGGTAACATCTTGTTATACTTATAGTGAACATTAAACCACACCCCTTTCTGTAAATCAACCAAATATACTACTGAATATAGATAGCACTCGACTAAAGGCAGGCTAATTGTTTACTTTACATGTGATAAATCTGTATTATAGAAGGGTAGATAGGGGTTTAGGATTACTTGACAAATATAGTGTTCATGTCTGTTCTCATCAGTTGACAGGTAATTTAAGTATTGGTACTCTGGACTATTAGTTCAATTATTTTCAGAAGGAAAATTGTAAATTTAATCTTTTTACATGCAGAGGCATCATTATGAAAGGTAAGATAAGATCTGTTTAATGTAGGCCAAATGAATTATTGATTTGGGTTGATCTGATGTGTTAATAATATTGTCGATGGAACAAGCTGTGTATCATTTAAATTCTTTGTTCATTAATTTCAAAGAGATAGAGAGAAATGGGGTTTAACGTCCACTCAACACAAACTAGGTCATTTTGGGACTAACATATGGTTTAATTTTATTTCAATAATTCGCTTGCGCATAGGGGTCTTTAGCAGTGGGGGGTGGGGGGAACCGGAGTACCCAGAGAAAACCCACGAGGTTCATTAATTTCCGTTTTATTTTTTATTTTAAACTGTTGAACATATGATCAGATTTATCTCAACCTTGACTTCAAATTAAGTGCTAAAACATGTGACGAAATTGAAATAGCTCCAAATGCTCTTCTGAAATATGAAGATCAAAATGTTAAGCAGTTGGGAAGTGATCGTCAAATTTGCTAGGGTAAGGTCATAAGGAGTTCCAATATTTCAATATTGTACGAGTGTATGGATTAAAACTATTGTCTGGAGCCACTCTGCTTGGCAAAATATCATCTAGTTGGCAAAATAAAGTGCCCGAAATCTAATGAACACTAATGTCACTTTTCTTTTAATTAAACACCACAAATTTGTACTGAATTGACTATGTATTAAGACATTTTGTCTGGAGCCACACTGTTTTGTGCAACATTTTTCATGCATTGATTATTATTTGTGAATGCAGCTCCAACAGTCTGATGGGATAATTGGAATTCAGGTTGGCATAGAGTGGGATTTAGGTTGCAAAAACCACGAGCTAGAATAGCAGAAAAACGCATGTTATATTTTCAAAAAAATTTGGGGGAAGGCAGGTTCCCAGTATCCTGCGATGACTGGCGACAGCTGCTTGGACTAAACGATTGATTGGATGTATGGAATTTGGGTCAGCCACATAAGTTAGGCTATATTGGACCACATTGAAGTGGCTGTATTCACATGCTGGAATAGCAGGAAATACTTTTCTTGGGGAGGCCCCTACACAGTAAACTCTGACACTTCGGTACTCACTGATGACAGGTGTTGTCATCTGTAAACAGGAATTTTTTCTGGCATTTCAGGTCTGCCCCCCTAACATCCATTGGGCCTGTAGCCTATGCAGAAGGATAAAGGCTCCTAAGATTTCCACACAGAATTAACAAGCTTGATTCACTAGACATAGTCTACTGTAGTCTACGCACCCAAAATCTAACAAAGAAATGTGATCAAATCAAGATTTTGATTTTTGACCCAAATCAAAGGGGGATCGACTTTGATATTAGGGTTATAAAGGGTTTGTGAGAAGGAATGCGGTTTTCAATTACTCCCATAACACTAACACTTTGGGTTTTTTTTATATTTCAGACAAAAGTCATGAATTTAAAAGCTAGACAAATATTAATCTTCATATTGGGATGGTTAGCCTATGCATCAACATACTTGCTTAGAAAACCTCTTGGAGTGGTATGTATTAATCAAATCTGATTAAAATTACATTTCGTTTATTTTGTCAATGAGAGTTGAGCGTGCAGTTACTTTTTGCTTTGAGTATTTTGTTGTATTTTTGAATTGCTAATGTATTTATTAAAGATTAGACAGGTTTCCATACATCTGAATTTTGCAAACAATCCATGCATTCTAAACCTAACATTGCAACCTATTTGTCTTGGGTGACAGTTGATAGCACATGCTCAGACTCTATCTATTTGCAACTACTACAAGGGCATTCGCTGCCATCATTTATAAAGAAAATATAATTATTTAAGCTGACTAGGACTAATCTAATTAAAGCTTTATTCCTTTGATGTTCGACATCGTATTTGCATAACAATAAATTGGAGACTATCAAAACTATGGAGACAATATAGAGTTATTTATTGGGGATTTCCAAACCTAAACTACCACCATTATGAGTAACACATCACTAAATGACAAAGTAGCATAATAGTTGATCCCTTCAACTGTGACCTTTGACCTGCACAGACAATGGTCTCCCAAACTTGCTGTTAACAGTCTATAATTTTATATCATATTTCAACATATCTTCAAATATATTTCAGATTAAAGCTGATTTAGAAGTGAGTCTGTCTATAAGTAAGACAGAATTAGGATGGTTAGATACAGCTCTTCTACTACCCTATGCTTTAATGCAGGTACATTGTATCAGTATAAACTTTTACCACTTTATAGATAATATTTAATGGTAATATTCGAAGTGAAAGGGATGGCCCAGGATTTTTATACGCCCACATTGAAATGTGATTGTAAATTGCTGTTGCGCCCGCCCGCCCTTCCAGCCAGCCGGCGTCCACAATTGCTTGTGGACGCTCTATATGCTAAAGTTAATATCCGATTGACTTTAAATTGATACACAGTGGTTAAGGTCATGAGACGAAGAAGCCTATTGATTTTCAGCGATTTCCGATGATTTTTGCCAGAGTTATGGCCCTTGATCACTTTGAAAAATATTGTGGATGCTCTAGAGGCTAAAGTTAATATCCGATTGACTTTAAATTTATACACAGTGTTTAAGGTCATGAGACGAAGAAGCCTATTGCTTTTCAGCGATTTCCGATAATTACTGCCAGAGTAAGTTATGGCCCTTGATCACTTTGAAAAATCTTGTGGACGCTCTAGAGGCTAAAGTTAATATCCGATTGACTTTAAATCTATACACAGTGTTTAAGGTCATGAGACGAAGAAGCCTATTGATTTTCACTGATTTCCGATAACTACTGCCAGAGTTATGGCCCTTGATCACTTTTTAAAATGTTGTGGACGCTCTAGAGGCTAAAGTTATCATCCGATTGACTTCAGATTGATACACAGAGTTTAAGGTCTTGAGACGAACAAGTATATTGATTTTCAATGAATCTTTATGACTTGAACAGCTAAATCCATGATGTAAAAAGTTTCATATACTAAATGTTAGCATGGGGCAGAACTTTATAAAAACCAAACAAATTCTAATGGTTTTCTGATAATTACTTAATGAGTTGTTACTCTTAATCAGATTTTAATGTATGATAAATGTTTCATTACTGAAAAAAGTATAAATATGCGACAACTCTTGTTGACTGCCCGGATGATATAGCTGCTGAGGGCGTATGTTTTGTTGCCTGGCAACCTATCTTTGTCTAAAGTGATAAAAAAAAATCTTGAAGAAACCTTTTATGTGCTATAATAAATGAGACTGTTGCATGCTATGTGAATAATTATAAATCCTCAACTTCTGCTCACTCATATATTCCTAGCACCAAAGGTAAACTGATATAGCACACCGAAGCAAGGCTGCTTTGAAACATTTAAAGCATGCAAAATGTGGGACCTGTCCCCATCAGTTACAGTTCTTTTATCCTGCCCTTTTCTCAAATTAACTCAGGGACAGAATGACAATGTCTGGTTGGCTGGATAGGCTACAAATACTGCAAAAAATCAATTAATGTTTAATGGGCTGACACAGTAAATCAGGATGTTCGAGCCAGTTTTAAGACCCAGTCTGCTATTGACTTAATTAAACTATAGCAGGTGTTATTAATCTGAAACAAGGCAACAAGATGAATAAGTGAAAAGCAATAATAGATGAGAAAATTGTTTCTTTTTCAGATGTGTTTAGGTCAGGTTGGTGATAGAATTGGTGCAAGATTAACACTGGGAATGAGTTTAATATTAGCTGGACTATCAATGGTAAACAAATCAGATTAAAGTACAGATCCTATTTCTTTTTGTATTTTATAGTTTAAATTTTATTTTAATAGTTGATATCCTTTAGTGGACTGCTCACTGAACCACAACAAGCATTCGTATAGTTTAGATCTATAATTTAATCATATTGATGGCACATGTGATTGATGTCTGTGGGCATAACATTATAATTATGATGTATTTTATTGTAGATTTCATTTGGATATTGGAACACTACACCTGTACTTGGTTTATTACTGTTTATAAATGGATCAGCTCAGGTAAAATATAATGTATAAAATTATTTGTCAAAGAATCGTGTTGCTAAATGACATTTATCTCATCATCTGTTTATGTCCCCCGCCCTTCGAAGAAAGCAGAGGACTATTAAAATGGGTGTGTCTGTCCTTCGCACTTTTTAGGACACAATAACTCTCGTTCTGATTAAACTAGAATGTTCAAACTTGGTTTAAGTGTTTATTAGGTGAATGCCTTGATATAGTTAGTCCCGGTCATCCAGGGGTTCTGGGTCTCTTGTCAACATTTGACAAAAAGTTCCATTGCCCATGGGTAACCAGGATTTTGTCGCCATGTCAAGTAATATTCCATAGTTCATGCATTATTATAAACAAACAAACAAGAATCGATACACCGAAATAGTATTAATTAAAAAAAAACTATAGATATGGTCCATGAAGAGAGAAATTTCAAATAAAAAAATAAGAGTGTTGGATATTGAACTGGCAATGCGAATGGATTTTCTGAAATGGCAATTCTTAAATTAATTTCATGGGCATTGACATTTTGTTTTACGGCTGGTTACATCCCTTAGAGTTAGACTTTGTCCATACTCCATGATAATGTAAAACACTGGATAAAATGTAGCCAATGAACTATTTATTCCCAAGTGTTGACAACCCATCCAGACAAATATTCAAATGGAAATTGTAACATGGAAGAACATTCCAGAGATAAATAAATTGTGTTTTTTGAAACCAAACAAAAACCCAGGTTATTATTGCTGATCTTGTGAGATGATACTTTAAATATTTTGTTTTAATAATGAAATTCTTCTACTTTTAGTCACAATGCTGGCCAAACTGCAGTAAGATTTTATTGTCCTGGTTTGCAGACAGGGTGAGAAATAGTGTTTTTGGAATGTTTGGAACATGTGCCTTTGGAGGAGGGATAATAGGAACTTTTTTGGCTGTAAGTACTATTACAGGTGGCACAAATAAATTAATACGAAAACAAGGCCAAATTAAGTGTGTTTTCTAAATCCAACATACAGCAGTTATTTGTATCTAAATGAGTGTTTGCTCAATCTGGTATGAGCACTTATTTGTTCATAATTGGCCTATATTCTATGCTTAAAAATATGGAAGTCTCCTTGTAGTAAAATAATCTAAATTAGTTTATTAAATTTTTAGGTGATTTTGCAAACTAATTATGGCTGGAGAGCTGTGTATGTACCACCTTCATTGATTGCAGTAAGTAAAATTAATTTCTAATGTACACTGGCCAATATTCTTCCAACATTCAGCCGATTGTGCATAGATTTTGACATATTTACTCAGATTAGGAACATATTTTTTTTCAAAGATATTTTCCATCTATTGTGTTTTACGGCTAAATTCTCTCTAATTTTAATTTCCCATTATAAAAATTGATTGACATGTTAAGTTTTCCTGCCGGTCAATTTCACTGCCAATTTCACTGGCTGACAGAAACAAAAGCCCTGGTGAACAGAATACTGTAATTTATTTGTAGATATTCCTTGGTACATTGGTGTTAATATTTTATCGTCAATCATCAGAAGCTGGTGTTGACATCCCTGGTAGAGGTTAGTAGTCATAGCTTTATCACAGGGCTTTCCTGTACAATAAATCTTAGAATATTACCATACACAAATTATATGGAAAATAGAACAAGATGACAACATTCCTGCAAACTTGCCTAATAATTACACAAAAATCACTCAAAGTGCTAATTTGAAAATGATTCCATTACTATAGTGTGAGAGAGAAATGGGTTTAACCTCCACTCGACACAAACTAGGTCATTTCGGGACTAACATATGGTTTCATTTTTTTATTTCAATAATGCGCATGCGCGTAGGGGTCTTTAGCAGTGGGAAGAAACCGGGGGACCCAGAGAAAACCCACAAGGTTGGACAGGCGACCCTACTCCTTGTCTGGTACAACCGGGGATTCGAAACCATGCCAGTTGACTCAATAACAGGCCTTATGATACAGCGTGCACATGCTAACCATTCGGCCATCCACCCCCCCACCCCCTCAATTACTATAATCTGTGTATGTGTGTACAAAGTTTCATAAAGAGATCTAGAGTGGTTCCTGACATATGATCAGGAAACAAAACTGAGTCAGATGGAATCCATTTTGTTATCTCTCCCACTCTTTTCATTCGATGCAAGGTAATAAATAACACATTGTTTGGATCTTCTGGTTTATTTCAGTTATGCCTTGCTTGCGTACTATTTACATTTTATATTATATAACTGGTTTATTTCTTTATAGAAGTGAGTGCTAGTCAAGCAAAAATAGATACAAGATCATCCTCTTTATATGAGATTTGGAAAATTCCGTAAGTAAATAATCCATGTGATCGCCAAAGTAAGTGAAGTTAGTGTGTTAAATGGATCCGATTGTGTACACATTTTAGTGTGCAGATTATATATCTTCCCTGATATTATTTTGTCATATTACTGAAAATGAAATTGTGTTTAATGTCCTACTAATTTGCTCAGACTTGGGCATACACCATGCAGTGTGCTATTAGGGAAATTTTGCCCGGACAGCGGCGGCACGGCCTACTCTTATTTTGAATTCCAACTGTCAATGGATCTTTTACGTGCATGTCTGTGTACACGGGACCTCAGTTTTTTGTCCCATCCAAATGACTACGTTGTCTCTGGGCAGGCCCTCCGTCCTATACCACTGACAAGAGGGAATCACGCTGGAAAATCCTGATGAACTTTCTTGGCCAACAGAGGGATCGAACACTGGACCTCCAAGTTAGCAAACCAACATCCTACTCACTGAGCCACCGTGGCTCCCCATATTTCTGAAGATCTACAAAGGACAAATGCGATGACATTGCCATTGTAAAAATCATGTATTGATCTTTGTTTTCAGAATGGTAGCTGAGGTGGCTATAAGTGTTTTTTGTTTAAAAGTTGTTCGTTATTGTATGTATATGTGGTTACCGTTATATTTATTAAGACAAGTAAGTAAAAATTTGTATAATGACATTTTTTATTCCCACATTTTATGCAAAAGTATATTGATGTTACACTTGTCAGTCATTCTATATTTTGTAGTAGATTGTAAAAATTGATGTACCAGGTAATAGAGTGTAAAAATGTTTTACCTGTAGACCCATTTCTATGTATTGATCTTTGGTTTGTAATTTCATACAAGCAGATCTATAAACAATACCCATTTTTAAAGGATTATCTAATACTCCTGATTTAGTTAAACTGTTAAAGTATACTCCCTTTGATTTAGGGATGCATCATGTAAGAACTTAATCTACCTATTGCAGGTCTTTATTCTGGTTTCAAATTGTCCAGCACCGTTGCTATTTTAGCAAGAACGGTCAGTTCTTTATCTAAATCTTACATAATGCATCTTTAACTTTGCCTGTAGAGCGCCAGCAAGCAATTGTGGACGCTGGACGGACAGGGGCAACGACAATGTACGACCACATTTCAGTGTGGGCGTACAAAAACGGTATTTAAAATCTGCATTTGGTCACACAAGTCTTATTAACACTTTACAGGTCAGAGTTTTTTAGATTTTTTCAAAATGTCATTTTCAGAATTTAGAATTGTACAATTTCATGCATAGTTATTGACCCTGACCCAAAAAACTTGAAGTTACCTGCTAAAATGCTGCTGTTGAGCATAGATTTGTTGCCTGGCAGTGCTATATGAGTTGTTGTCATATACTTCTGTTTGCACCATAGTTTTGTCTTCCAGAATTTTCCATTGTAACCACTTGTTCTTCTTTCAGTTAAATTATTCTAAAAGTCTCTCAGGAATATTTTCTACAGTTTTTGACATAGGAGGTGTCGCGGGTAGTGCTTTAATTGGTATTTTAATCGACAGGTAGGTTATTGTGTTTTGATTGACATATGGGACATGATACAGAACTTTATTCTATATTCACCATTTTCTGCACATGATTAATTTTTAATCCACCAATTTTAGACATTTTGTCCAACTTTAAATATATGAGTGTCATTTTGAAGGAAATTATGATTGCCTGTGCGATTGTTAAATTAACTTGTAAGATTTATAGAAATCTGTTTTTGATTTTATAATCTGATGATGGTTATTAAGACAGAGAACATGAATATTCCTGGTGAATTTTCAGCTCATTGAATATTGTAATTTGTAACACTTATATGATAAAGTGGGAGCCACGGTGGCTGGGTGGTTAAGGCGCTGGCTCGCTAGCCTGGAGGTCGGGTGTTCGATCCCTGCATTGGCCGAGAAAGTTCATCCCGATTTTCCGACGTGGTTTCCCCTTGTCAGCGGTGCAGAACGGAGGGTCTGACAAGGACAGCTGTCTAGTCCTTCGGATGAGACGAAAAACCGTGTATACATTGGAATGCATGTAAAAGATCCCTTTGCAGTTGAAATTCGATATAAGAGTAGGCGATAGTGCCGCTGCCCGGGCAAAATTTCCCTCATAGCACACTGTATGGCGTATGCCCGTCTTCATTAGCCCAGTTTAGGAGCAGAACAGTAGGAGTTAAACCCCATTTCATTTCTATATGATAAAGTGATGTTTCTGATTAGTTGTCTTCTCCTTGCTCCTGATCCATATTCACCTCCAAGGTTAAACATAAAATACCAGGTGTATATTACCCTATGTGTTTTACGACTTGATACAATTGCTCTAACATTCCAACACATAATTGCTCTGCTAATATCACTCAGATTGAAATGAACAGTATTTTTCTGTAAACTTTATTAATGCCCATATAAGTGATGTATAACTGTTTTCTCTGCTGAGTGTATAATGTTGGCGTACTGAAGATTAGTATGCGTATATTTTAATCATGAATATTACTAATAATGTGAACCACTATATCACTATGAAGATAGCTGCTGGATTACATCAGACTTAGGTAGAATGAAGCAGGAGTAAAGTTCATTAATTGGGGTTGTCTGGGAAATCTTTCAGTAATTAGTACCAGTACTAATATTAAAATGGAATAACTGTTAACTTGGTTACAAATACCCTTATTTCTTCTCTTTACAGATTTTATGCAGGTCGATCTATATTCGGAAATGCTGTCTCAGTTGCTCTGTCTACAATATTTTTAATATGTTTTAATTTAACATGTACGTGGGGCATGACATTTAATGCTGTATTCATGTTTTTAGCTGGAGCATTTAGTTCAGGTCCAGATACCCTATTAGGTAAGGCTTTAAGGTGTGACGAAATTAGCAATAAGTTCTGTAGATTAAGAAAAAATTATCTAGCATCCTTTATTTCACTTCTAATGTTTTCCCGAACGCTTCAAATAAATTAAATTTTATTAGAAGAAAACTGTGTTAACACACAAATAAGATGTAAACTAAATTTAGTTTGTTTAACATAGTTATTCCGCATTTGATCATTTTGGCCTATTTATCTCCAAAACAGAAAATCTCTATCCCAAATTTTTATTCTTTCAAGATAATGAAATACAGTTTGCAAGATAATAAATATTTGATTCCAACCAAAATCAGACACCCGACTGCCAGGTCTAGAAATATATAGAAAATTTGTAACTTTAAACAAACTCTTTCTTCTGAACTGATGCTCAGACAGTCGCTTCCTCATGCACAGCATATTTTTTCTTCTACTTTCATCAAAATAACATAAGTGAAACCAACAAACAAACGTGCAAAGCATTCACACAGTTTTGGCCTCATTCCAATGTAATCCTGTATGCACCTAAATGTGCAGAAATATTATCTCAGAGCTTCTGATTTGATAAAATTGTGAGGTCATCTCCCACACTTCATGCCTAACTTGACGATGTCTCCCCCCAGATCCCCCCTGCTTATTCTGCTCAAATTCCTGGACATGTGATTGGCTCATGAATGAAATCCAAATAAAGAGAAAATCTTGAGTGACCTCTGAATAATTCCTTAATTTTAGGTGGTTCTATAGCAGCTGAATTAGGAGAAAAGGGAAACAGAAATGCTGCTGTAGCTACAGTTGGATTAATTAATGGTAAGAACTTTATAAGAATTTAAACTATGAGTGTGACCATTTAGACCATAATTGAGTTTAATGGTTTTGTTGTTACTTATGTTCTTCTTTTTCTTTAGCCTTAGAATGGCATTTTATATAATTTCATATGTTGGGTAGTATGGGTGGTGGGGATTTACCATGTCAAACATGCGGCCTGTCGGCCAGATCAGACCCGCCAAGGGTTTAAATGTGGCCTGTGGAACAAATTTCAACAAAGTGAGTGTCGAGAATTCTTAGAAACTAGCAATGGAAATCATGATTTATTATTGTTTTCCGGTTTCAGTAAAACTCTTACTTCTGTACCATACTGTATGTCATAGATATCTAAGTTGTGTGTAATACAAGAGAACGTTGCGTTCAATATTATATCTTGACAATTTGGAAAACAGTCTAAAAAATTGCCTGTGTCAAAGACGTTTGGCTTTGTTTTTAGAATACAGTAAAGTTCAAGGACATTTGACTTTATCTTGATATTTTTGTATATCTCTGGCCCACTTGATGTAAAATTTAAGTTCATGTGGCCGCTGAATTGAAACGGCCTACTCGTATTATTAATTTTCAAAAATTTTAGGATCATAATTTTTGAAAGCTTTTTGCTGAGTTATATTTGTGCTGTTAAAGTTTGTGAATGTGATACCGAAAAAAAAACGTTCTGTATGAATACAACTTAGCTACCATTATTTGTTTGCCTTTGTCATACACACAAAATTAGGCAGCCATGTGGGCACACACTGTATGTTTTTGAATCGTACATCATAGATGAAGTGTTTGAAGCTAGAGAATTACTCTGTTGTTAAATTACAAAGCATTAGGCAATTATATAATTTGGTATTTTTCTCTTTCTAGGATTTGGCAGTGTAGGAACTTTTATGGAAGGACCTATTATAGGTTTTATATCTACATACTATGGGTGGTCTGGAATGTTTTATTTTATGATAATTTTATCAATTATTGGCACCATATCCTGCTTTAAAGCTGCAAAAATTCATAAAAAAGAATCTATAAAATCTACAAATAATGAAACAGTTTAATTCAATTATTGAAAATACCTTATTCAGAGAAGACTATTTCTTCAAAAACATAATTTAAACATACTTGGGGGTAAGCTATCTTGCAAGAGAAAATGTTATAAACTAATAACAATCGGCTATAGTAATGGAATATCCATTAGCTTTATTAAAAATATAGTATATTGAAGTAGAATTCTCATTGTTTTGTCCTACATTATTTATTTATTTATGAAATGAACCTATTTAGGCATTTATGTTTTATTGTATACTGTTTATTTTTGTTTATTATTACTCTGATATTCAGGTGTAGTATAAATGAAAACAAGAATTTAATTGAATGAACGTTTAGAATGTCTTTATTATTAAATTTACTATGTACATTCCAATTCTTTTACACCTTTAAAGAAGAATTATTCAAGATTTAGAGAAAGAGCTAGCCATTCTTGCTATTATAGATCAACAATAGATTTAGAGCTAGCCATTCTTGCTATTATAGATCAACAATAGATAATGAAAATGATTAAATTGAAAATTTCTGTCAAATTAGTTTATTTTGAGCAAAATTATGAATGTTCAAAGTTTTGACAAGAAATAGCCTAAATTGTATTTGCCAATTGACAGTTCGTATTCTAGATTGTCAAGTATCATTACCATTTTCAGTCCCTCTATCGACAGTCTCCATGAGTGGCGTCTGTATTATCGTTTAACACGGATATGGCAGGCATTGTCTAATCCACTCAATATCTAGTCCCAAGTTAACCAAGTTAATTGAACATTGGCAGCTTTGTTTGTTAATGTATAGTTCCCTTTTAAAGGAGAAAACCAATTTCACTTTTTAACTGAATGTCCACACTATCAATCTCTCCGGTTAAATCTTCTTTCTGCTACTTTCAGTGGTAACAATCTGACCATAAGGTTTGAAAATATATTTAACTCTCCCCCTTCAGTTTCTATGAGTGTGTGTCTTTATATATATATAAGGCATCTCCTTACCATACTAACAGTACAAGTCAAAATTCACATATTCTTTTCATGTATACATTTTCAAATATTGTTTTCTGTATATTTTCACTTTTAACATGAACTTGTATTTTATGTTTCGTATTCTTATGTATAAATAATCTTTATATATGTATATTACTATTTATTTTATGTTCTGTAATATGTCATGTATATTAATTGTGTGTGGTCTGAAAAGGGCATTGTGAAACAACAAAATCTTATCTTATGTCATATTAAATCAATAAATTAAAACAATAAAGGGGCATCATTTTGGAAATCTTCACTTTATAAAGGTATTGCTTTGAAGTTTTCCAGCTTTTGAGAGATACAGGCATTTTAACTTTCAATTTAAGAGTGTAAAATATACCTTGCTCTATGTACGTCTGTTGTAGGAACAGATAATTTTCAAATTTCTAAACATTACTAAATGTTTCAAATGTTTATATTTAAATTAATCTATAGAATCTGACTCATTAACGTTGAATGTTAAAAATATGTAAATGTTTCTAAGGCATCATATATGTATTTGACCAACCCCGACTTAATGTCAACACATGTTTCTAGGCACTGTCTCATTTAGCCAGAGTTTCCATCAAACTAACCATGTTATGAGAGCTTATTGATTTTGTTTTGTTATTGTGCACTGGGTGATCTATTATATACATAAATGTGGTAATAACCTGACAAACAGAGAATAGATAACAGGTATGTTAACATATTTGTCGATATCAAAATGAATGAATCAATAAAAATCATCACATATATCAACTATCTTTCTTCATTGGGCAACATTACTGTTTTGTACCGTAATTGTTGCTGATATGTATTTTAAGAATTTGTTGTTTTTGATTCCCATATTGTTCATATTTTCACATTGTTATTTTGTGCTTTTTAAAAAAATAAAACCACAATAAACCCAATACATTAATTGTTTCTGTTATTAAACATACATTATGCAAGAGCTAAATCTGTCTATTGCAGGTCTTTCTTTAGGCCTGAAATGTTATCAAAATTATTAAATAGACATTAATTAACCTATCCAGACCATCTTTAATGGATTGTGAGCCGATTTACCGCATAACTTTCCTTCACGATTTAACGATTAAGTGGATAATTGAGACTATGCTGTTTATCGTACTGACTTCAGTAATGATGATCAAGGCTAGGCGGAAATTCAATCGCTTTGTTCTCGGTTCATAGTGGATCAATTCGAATGAAATTTTCAGCAAATTGCCTTTACATTATCTAGTTTTTAACTATTAGAGTGAGAATCGCTCATAATGTTTCTTTAAATACCTAGCACTATTTTAAATACTAATTATTATGTTTCTTATATGTACTGAGAAATTGTAAGCTCTCTGAGCTTCACTGACTTAACCTAAACACCCACGTAGGACACCGCTATATAAAACACGCAACGGGCCTGCAGCCAAAATTTCCAGCGTGGGTTTCCGCTACAAGATCCTCCCTGCTAAATAAACTATACATTTTTGGAAACCATATAACGATATGAACACAAATCGCAAGAGTTCCAAGCAAAATGTTTGCAATAACTTGGTTAAGAGCCTAATGAAAATCGTCATAGTTGTCAAACAATTGCATGGTATAATTTATCAGGTTGGGGTTGGGGTTGGGGTTGGGGGGCTTTAATTTGGTTGCAAGTACTTCTTTCTTTCTCCCGGTTATTGAACGCAAGATTAAACACCAGAGTGCCTAGAGCGTATACAGACTTTCAGAAAAGAGAACCCTGGGATACGAGTTTTCTTTATACTCTTTCCTGGTGTCCCTTATCCATCAAATAATCCACTGCTGTCAGTTGTGGTGTGACCCGTTAAAACGAGCGGTGCCAACCAAGGTACGCCCACATTTTGTATGAAAAATACGGGGAAGAGATAAAGCTCATTCTCTCATTCAAGATCTTTTGATCCTTAACATATTTGTTAAGTTTCATCAGAATGGGACAACAATAGTAGCCCATCTGGAGGTCCTACAAAATCTATACATATTTCAAATTTTGTGTGAAAAAAGGGAGCTATAGCTCTAGAATGTAAGGTCTGGTGTGTACGAAAGTCGAACTCATCCAAGAACGTTTGCTCCATAACACATAGTTTAAGTTTCATCGTGAAAAGTCCACACACTTCATTCATATTTCACATTTTGTGTAAAAGGCAGGGGCAGTTCCGCATGAAAATTAAACTCGTTTTAAGTTTCATCTAAATTAAATCGGATAAAATTGTGACCTCTAGATGGTCTACAACCTGGGTATTATATGCTTTTATTATTTGTGTAACAGGGAGCGGCTATTTAACGGGAAGATTCGGTCCGATTTTTAGGAAATTCGGACTCAACCATAATTGTGCTGTAACAGTACGGTGATATATTTGAACAGTTTTGAAAATAAGATAAAAAAAAATTGTGACCTCTAGAGGGCCCATAATCTAAAAATGTGATATAAGAGTAGGCCGTAGTGCCGCTGTCCGGGCAAAATTTCCCTCATAGCACACTGTATGGCGTATGCCCGTCTTCATTAGCCCAGTTCGGAGCAAAACAGTAGGACGTTAAACCCCATTTCATTTCATTTCTACAATCGGGGGAAATAATCCAGAAAGTTACGGTCCAATACGCGCCAATATCGAAATTAGATCTTTGGGATATAAATATATATTTTAAGTTTCATCAAAACTGAATAAAAATTCGAACCTCTGGATGGTCCACACCACAACCAGGGGCCTGTTTCACGAAATTTTAACTGAAGATAAAATCCAAATTTTAGTAGATACTTCAATTTTGATTGGCTAAGCACAAAATCAATCTAATATTATCCAATCAAATTACTAAAATTTGGATTTTATCTTAGTTAAAATTTGGTGAAACAGGCCCCTGGGTCTTACGGTCCGATCTAAATATGAAGGCCAGAGGCCTACCTGTTTAATTATTATTTAGATTTTTATTTTACCTGTTTGGATGTATTAATTGTTCGGCGTAGTTAAAATGTGTTTTGGAAAATGAAATGAAATGGGGTTTAAAGTCATGTTCTGCCCTGACAGCAGCGCCACGCCTACTCTTATTATCGAATTCCAGCCTGCAAGGGATCTGTACGTGCACGCCATGTGTACATGGGACCTCGGTTTTTCGTACCATCCGTGGGGGGTTGGATGGCCGAATAGTTAGCACGCGCACGCTGTATCATACGGTCTGTCATTGAGTCAACTGGCGGGCTTTCGATTCCCCGGTTGTACGTGACAAGGAGTAGGGTCTCCTGTCCAACCTCGTGGGTTTTCTCCGGGTCCTCCGGTTTCCTCCCACTGCTAAAGACCCATACGCGCAAGCGAATGATTGAAATAAAAATGGAACCAAGTGTTAGTCCCGAAATGACCTAGTTTGTGTCGAGTGGAGGTTAAACCCCATTTCTCTCTCTCTCTCGTACCATCCGTACGACTAGACAGCTGTCCTTATCAGGCACTCCATCCTGTACCACTGACATGGGGAAACCAACCCGGAAAATCCAGAAGAACTTTCTCGGCCAACACCGCGGGAGCGAACCCGTGAACATTTTGGATTAAGTAATGTCATTCAATTCACTTTCAAATAAGTATAATAACAGGTCACCTTGTATCACATATTAAACTATGCGTTTCCGTATTGTCAGGTTCGTGCACTACAATTTTCTAAAGGAAAAATACCAGGTAAATATTTAACAATTACACATAATTTATACACGTAGATAAATAAGTACAGTTCATTACAAAACAGCTATAATAAACAGCAAAATAAACGTTAGTACGATTTCAAAATCAGAGAGGCACTTTAATCAAATCATTCTAGAAAACGACTTAATAAATGGATCAAAGCAATTTTTTGTGAACAGTATGTTGACACATTAGTGATTAATTCGTCACAATTCCAAGACATTACGAGAAGGTTTAGAGTCTGTACACAGTCTATACATCAGTATCTGGTGTGTTCACCGCGAGTGTCAATAACAGCAGCGCAGCGTCTGTACATGGAGTGGACCAGACGATTGATGAATGCCATTGGCACCTGGAACCACACTCTCAGAAAAGCCTGGGGCAATCCATCGGCTGTGGTTGGTCTCGTCTGAATTTCTTCCGGACTAAGGGCTGACCGAGAAACTCTGGCGGTGTGGGCAAGGGCGTTGTTTCGATGACGTGCGAAATGTGGTATGACGTGGGGTCTGAGAGCTTGATCGATGTAGCGCACTGCTGTGATGCGGCCCCTCTCGCTGGACCAGGATTTTGGAACACCACATGACCCACTCTCTGGTTCAGGCCGATTCCACTCCAAACCATTATGCTTGGACCTCCCCATGGGTCGCGTTCAATGACACATTGGTCAGAATAACGCTGGTCACGTCGACGCCATATTCTGGTCATGCCATCTGCAGTTGATACGCAATACCGACCCTCATCTGTGAACAGAACAGTTCTTCATTGCCTGTGTCGCCAGTTCTGGTGTTATTGGGTAAACTGTAGACGTTCACGTCGATGACGAAGGGTGAGGATCGGTCCACAGTAAGGTCTATGGCAGTGGATGTTCTCTCTGGTGAGACGTTGGCGCACTGTATCGGTACTGATGGGTCTTACGTGTGTTCCCACTGTCTGACGCGCTATCTCAGATGCCTGTGTGAAGGGATTCCGCACGTGCTGTCGCACAACTTGGCAGTCTTATCGCCTTGTGGTAACCCTTGGTCTACTAGTTCTGGGTCGATCATCCGTGGTGTTGGTGACCCGAAAGCGTTGCTGAAGCTGGTTCAAACATTGACCTGGAAGTGATTGGCAACGGCTTGGACAGTGTGAGTCTCCCATACGCCCGGTTCCTCTGAGCTATCGTGAGGCGTTTACCTTGCTGCTGATGTTGTAGTGTGAATGATTCAACCAGGTATGGGGGGTGCATTTTATAGGGCTGGTGTTTGGGAAGGAGTCTTATTGCTGAGGTAAAGTTGGAGATGTGGTCACAATTTAATATACAATAAAAATATTTGGCAAGTTTTATGCAATGCGTCTATTCAGAGTAACATACCAACCTGGCGTTTCTTTTGCTGCTTAGTATATTTACCATGGTTTACGTACTTGATGTGTTCTACCTTTATTTTCATTGTTAAGATGGGTCTCCTCGTTTCAAAATTACCTCACTTTATAGATATTTATATGAAATATCTATTTTTAGGTGAGGATGGGAAAGGAGACTTGTGAGACTTTTAACTCCCTGATACACAAAGTAGCGGATTAGTTGGTAAAAACAGCCCGGCATATTCACCTATACGAGGGTATTTCTTTCACAGTCCAGCGACCATGTTTACTCAGCGGCCCCAGCCCAAATTCCCTCATTGCCAATCCGCCTCTGGATGAATACAGGATTTTTCAAAACGGGAAGGGATGCCGAGCATATCTAGAAAGGTAATATTTTGGGGCATTTTCCAAGACAAAAAAGGGTAAACTCGACATTGTGACATTTTTTATTTCCGTTTCATATTTTCATTTGACCGGATAAAAAAAACCATATTGGCCAGTTCGTCATGATTTTACTGTCTATGATAATATCCTTTTACGAGGATCTCGTATTGTTATTCCTATTTCAATGAGACTTAAAATCTTGGACAGAATACATGAAGGACACATGGGAATCGCCAATAATGACGCCAACGAGCCATACAAAGCGTATGGTGGCCAAATTTGAGCTCTCAAATCGCAGAGAGAGAGAGAGAGAGAGAGAGAGAGAGAGAGAGATGGGGTTTAACGTCTATTCAACACAATCACACAAACTAGGTCATTTCTGGACTAACACATGGTTCAATTTTATGTCAATAATTCGCTTGCGCGTAGCGGTCTTTAGCAGTGGGAGGAAACCGGAGGACCCGGAGAAAACCCACGAGGTTGGACAGGCGACCCTACTCCTTGTCACGTACACCGGGGATTCGAAACCCCGCCAGTTGACTCAATGACAGACCGTATGATACAGCGCAGCGCGCACGTGCTAACCATTCGGCCATCCCCCCCCCCCTCAAATCGCAGACTTAGTTTATAAATGCACACAGTGTGCAGAACATCGCGAAAAACAATTCGAACCATTAATTCCTAGTAAATTTCCAGACTGTCCATGGCAGATTGTAGGAAGCGATTTATATTACCTTCGCGGAAAAACATATTTATTGGTAGTAGATTATTTTTCCAGACATGTTGAAATCGCCAATCTTCAAGTTACTTCAACTAGTGAAGTTATTACACACTTGAAATCATTTTTGCGAGACACGGCATTCCGCAAATGTTTAGATCTATTAAATAATGGCTCACAGTATTCAGCTTTTGAATTTTCTAAATTTGCACGTGAATACGAATTTGAACATATTACAAGTAGTCACCTGTACCCATAAAGTAATGGGGCAGCGGAAAAGGCGGTTAAAACAGTTAAAAACTTAATTAAAAAGTCACCCGATCCTTATAAGGCATTATTGGCTTACAGATCGAGTCCAGTGCAGATTGCACAACAGTTTTAGTCCTTCCGAACTCCTATTGGGTAGAAAAATTAGATGTCAAATTCCTTCTTCTGAGAAGTTAAATCCACAGTGGCCTTATTTGCCTTTACTAAGCTAAACTTCGATAAACGTCATAAGACAACCTCACTCAAAGAGTTGAAACCGCAAACCAATGTCTTTATATGACAGAAAAAAGCATGGCACTGCCATAAAGAAAACCTCTAATCCCAGGTCTTATATTGTAGACTACTAACGGTCATTTAAGACGCAATCGTACTTGTTTGATCAGCCCAAAATCATTGACTGTGATTTTGGAGATATTGATAAATTGAATGACTATTATAATGATCCGCCTGATCAAAGAGCATTGCCTAAATAAAAGGTACATATATGGCCATAAGCGCCTCGAAGATCTTGATGTCTACGTATAAGACCTATAAGAAGGCTTATCACAGAAATGTAAAATATGTAGGCCTAATTGATACCGTATGTTGAAACATTTAAATGAAGTTAGATCATCGTGGTCCATCTTATCATTCTTGTTTCTGTAAAATTATGTTTGTTCATGAAGTATTATTATACGTGATACATTGTAAAGAGTAGTCAGCAAACGTCTAAGAAAATGGGATGTTGTATTATCAAGTACGTTTGGATCACGCGACGTAATACATAGGTTCTGAGCACCCTCGTTTTGGAGTTCGTACATGGCGTGTAATGATGGCAATGTGAGATGTCTTCAAGAATAAATGTATTGAACTAAACAACTGTGTTACTTAAAGGGCTAATCCCGATATTTTTTGGAGAATAAAACTGCTTAATTTTGTGTTAAAATCCCTTAAAATCCCCTAGCTGAGGGCCGAGCAACTAACTCAATATTTGTGATAAGTTTTCAACCCACTTAAACCCGTCAGTCTCCGTCTGGAAATGGAGACCGGTGTCCCAAGCTGTATTATGCGGTGTCTGGATAAAACCAGACTTTTATTTTATAAAAATAACGTGTAGTTGAAATTTACCTTTCGTTATCAAGTACAGCACATGGGTCATTCACTACATAGACCTCTCAAGGAATGGGAATCGATTATCAGGTCACCCAACGAAAAAACTGACCCGAAATCTTAAAATGGTTACGTGCCCGGATAAGCAATTTTGACATTCACGTCCAAACGACTCAATATTTTGAGCTGGAATTTTGAGAGAAGGTAAATACCTCATTCCTCTATATTTTGGCGCTTAAATTTCATACGTACTCAGACTTTTATTTTTGAGACTCTCTTGATATCGGGATAGTCCCTTTAACGGAACCCACAAACCAAACAATAACAACTATCTGGTAGTGGTGAATCGATTTTAATTCATTAATAATTGTATCATCATCTATAGGTCAGAAAACCCAAAATTAACAAAGATTGAAAGAACATGTCAATTGTCATGTCATATATAATAATATATGATAAATGAAATGGCCCTAGAGGCCTATATACTATTACTATACGTATGAATCTATGGTGTCGTAAAGAGCACTTCAACCTTACCCCCATTTTGCTTGACAAACCCGTGAGATTACGAATAGCAATATCCTGGATCCGTGAATGATAAAAAAACGAATGTGTCAAGTAATACTCTACTTTCAATTTAACAGTAATGATTTAGCGCGTTTTCTACTGACGTCATTGTCACGTGGTATTTCTAAACCATGCCATGCACATTACATTGACAAGATAGGAGGATAGTAAAGTATATTGTTGAGGGAATGAGTAGGGGTTTGTTGATATAAATTAAACACGTAAGTATTCGGTGTACGTAACTTATTTTATCCAAATGTGGGGATCGAGTATTAATCCAGCTGGTTCTAATTAGGTTACAGGCAATGTAAATGAACACCCACATTTTCACGTTGTCACAGAACCGGAGTTGAGAAATATCTGAGTACGTCTAAAAAGACGAAGCTCTTGTCGCTCGTAAGATCATAATATTTGTTCGTTCGGAAACCACATTCATTAGGCCTATGTTTTGTGTCTAAATTACAAAATGTGACTATAACATAACAACCGCCGGAACCGGTACATGCACTAAGAACTTAGAGAAGAGTTAGTCAGCCAACTGTCAAAAAAAATATGCACAGGACTTTTTATTACCTATCATTAGGCCTATATCAAATGGTAGATCATTAGACTTATCCAAAAGGTAATGTCAGATGAAATTGAAATGTCAATGTTAGATTGTCTATCAGTTGTGTTTGCTTTACTATCTATAGTTACAATTAGAGATCTGCTGTGTCATGTTCTCAACAAATCTTGCATTAATCAAGGAGTGACATGATGGTTGACATAGCTAGAATTCTCCAGATGTTGCATTGTTACATAAATATATCAGTACCGGTATTTAAAATATTTTAAATGTAAATTCATCGGTGAGTTGCTTTCAAGTCTTCCCCCTTCAGTTCATGACTAACCTAATCTTTAATTAAGTGGCATTTTTAGCGATTTTGAAACATATTATAGTTATACACAGTTTTTATGGGAAAATCACTGAATTTATTCTAAAAGCACAACGTTTCGACAAGTATCCTCTTTTCATTATCATTGTGCTTGATAACGATAAGAGGATATATGTCGAAAGATCATGTTTTTACAATAAAACCAGTCATTGTTTCCTATAAAAATTGTGTTCTATTAATGACCAACCTACTCTGCAGATTTTCTATATCTACTGCTGATAACAGCCATTTACTATGATATCTTACAAAACATCAAGGGAGAGTGTGTTATCATGTGTAAGTTAGTAGGTCAGTTAAGGGCTATTGTCAAGTGAGCAAAAAAAAATACTAAATCACTATAGTAGATACACTTGTGAAGCCTAGAACAAGCTAGTATAAGTTACACAGGTCTATTGACTTTTAGAGTTGGCTTATTAGAGCCGAGGGACATAGGGTGAAATAACTTGTATTGATATCTTGCGACATAAGCTTTACATTATATATGAAATAGAATATTTTCATCTGTTTGTTTCCAGGTACAACTTTTCAAGATTTAACGTGCAGGGTCACCTCTAGAGGGTTTGCGTGGCAAGATGCCGCCGGTACAGGGTGATTTGAAAACCTTAATACAAGGTTATATAGATAAAAATAAAGTTATGATATTCAGTAAAACAACATGTCCCTTCTGTGCCAAGGTAAGAATTTGATAATTAAGCTTAATGGTACATGTATGATAAAACATTCTGATACCTTCATATAGGTAGATTTTTGAATTTTGTATTACACATTAATACTAGGAAACGGTTCTATTAGTAGTAAGTGCAGGCCCCCAGCACCAAACATCCACACATATACAATTATACAAGACAAACCCACCTACAGGACACAATATACAGGCATTTCCAACAATAAATCAAGTGAATGGATCCTGAGGTCTGGTCGTAAGCGTCCACTGCCATGCACAGTCCCAATAATGCTTCACTCATAAATAAAAACAAACTAGCAGTAAGGGAATCAATCCAAGAAAAAAATATTTTCCAAACGTATATACAGTATTCTAATGGTGTCATGATAGTTATGTGCTACAAGAAATCTCCATACATGTCAGCACATTGAAAAAAAAACTTTTATAAATAACCACTGTCGTGAAATGTAGTAAAAAGCCAAGTGTGTAATTAATTTCATTGTAAGACAAAATTTTGGTCTATTTCACAGGTGAAAGATTTATTTAAAAGCTTAAATGTTGAATATTTTTCCTTGGAAATGGATAAAGAAAGTAAGTAAAATTTGTGTCCAAATGTTCATCCATCTTTTAATGATACACAAAAATATGTCACAGGTATAAACTTATGTAAACTAGGACTTATAATCCTTTCATACATGTATGTTTTGAAGCAATGTATATACATGTACTTCATTAAATTGAGTGGGGTTTTTACTTCAACTACATCATGTACCAGTATTAATTTGTAATGTACTGTATAATTTAATTAATTATTTCAGATAATATGGCAGATCTACAAAACACATTATTAGAAATATCAGGTCAAAAGACTGTACCCAATGTGTATATCAATGGCACACATTTAGGTAATAATTCTTATTAGATTATTCAATCCTGTAATGCTCATATAAATATAATATTTCAAGACTATCCAAACGGATACTATCTATCAGGTGCTATCTATCTCTAGATAGGTAATCACTAATTATTTATTAAACTTAAATAGCATTCAAATAATGATGGTTGACCTTGTGTCAGCATCTTTGAGGCATGAAATTATTTCAATTGATATTTTCATATTTATATAACCGCAAGGGAATTACCTCTTTATATTGACAGTTTTCAGGTTTTATGAAGTAAAATGTGCCATGTTAATATTGCTAATAGATACATTCCTTTTATACAAGATTTCTGGCTTTACAATAATTTCAATCCAAAATAAGATTCAATAATGAAACTATTGATTAAGTTACTCAATATGAAGTAAGATATAATTTAATTGAAACTATTGTTTTATTAGGTGGTTGTGATTCCACATTAAAAGCACATAGTGATAATAAGTTGTTACAGATGATAAATGCACCTAATGAGAAATATGATTATGATCTAATTGTCATTGGTGGAGGATCAGGTGGTTTGTCTGCTGCCAAGGTAATTATATTTTTATACGCCCACATTTTCATGTGGACGTATATTGTCGTCGCCCCTGTCCGTCCGTCCGTCCACAATTGTTTGTGAACAGTCTACAGGTCACAATTTTTATCCGATTTCAATGAAACTTGAAATATAGGTTTATCACACTAAGATCTCGGTTCCTTTCGATATTGGCATCTATCTGACCGTAACTTCATGGATTATAGCCCCTGATTGTACGAAAAATCACGTTTTTGGCTTGTTAACACTGTAGAGGTCACAATTTTTATCTGATTTTGTTGAAACTTGAAATGTAAGTTTATAATCAAAGATCTCGGTTCCTTTCGATATTCGCGCATATCAGACCGTAACTTCATGAATTATGGCCCCTGATTGTACGCAAAAACGTGTTTTTTGGCTTGTGGACCCTATAGAGGTCATAATTTTTATCCGATTTAAAAAAACGTGTTAATATGTCACCGTTAAACCCTAAGGACGGTTGAGTTCGAATTTCGTGAAAATTGGCCCAAAACTGACAGACAAAATGGCCGCCGTTCGTTCTCAAATAGCGTAAAAATATGGAATATCAAGGTTGTGGACCCTATAGAGGTCACAATTTTTATCCGATTTTGTTGAAACTTGAAATGTAAGTTTATACCACAAAGATCTTGGTTCCTTTCGATATTCGCGCATATCGGACCGTAACTTCATGAATTATGGCCCCTGATTGTACGCAAAAACGTGTTTTTTGGCTTGTGGACCCTATAGAGGTCATAATTTTTATCCGATTTAAAAAACTGTGTTAATATATCACCGTTAAACCATAAGGACGGCTGAGTTCAAATTTCGTGAAAATCGGCCGAAAACTGACAGACAAAATGGGCGCCATTCATTCTCAAATAGCGTAAAAATATGGTATATCAAGGTTGTGGACCCTATAGAGGTCACAATTTTTATCCAATTTTGTTGAAACTTGAAATGTAAGTTTATAACCCAAAGATCTTGGTTCCTTTCGATATTCGCGCATATCGGACCGTAACTTCTTGAATTATGGCCCCTGATTGTACGAAAAATCGCGTTTTTATACGCCCCTGTCCGTCCGTCCACAATTGTTTGTGGACTCTCTACAGGTCACAATTCTTTTCCCCAAAAGATCTCGGCTGCTTTCGATATTTTCATGTGGACGTATTATGCCGTCGCCCCTGTCCGTCCGTCCGTCCACAATTGTTTGTGGACTCTCTACAAGTCACAATTCTTATCTGATTTCGACGAAACTTGAAATATAGGTTTATCCCCAAAAGATCTCGGCTGCTTTCGATATTGGCATGTATCGGATCGAAACTTCATGGATTATGGCCCCTGTTTGTACGAAAAATCACGTTTTTAGCTTGTGGACCCTATAGAGGTCACAATTTTTATCCGATTTTGTTGAAACTTGAAATGTAAGTTTATAACCCAAAGATCTCAGTTCTTTTCGATATTTGCGCATATCGGACAGTAACTTCCTGAATTATGGCCCCTGATTGTACGAAAAATCACGTTTTTAGCTTGTGGACCCTTTAGAAGTCATAATTTTTATCTGATTTAAAAAACCGTTCTATTATATCACCGTTACACCCTAAGGATGACTGAGTATCGAATTTCGTGAAAATTGGCCCAAAATTGACAGACAAAATGGCCGCCGTTCGTTCCCAAATACTAGCGTAAGAATATGGTATATCAAGCTTGTGGACCCTATAGTGGTTACAATTTTTATCCGATTTTGTTGAAACTTGAAATGTAAGTTTATAACCCAAAGATCTCAGTTCCTTTCGATATTCGTGCATATCGGACCGTAACTTCCTGAATTATGGCCCCTGATTGTACGAAAAATCACGTTTTTAGCTTGTGGACCCTATAGAAGTCATAATTTTTATCTGATTTAAAAAAACGTTCTATTATATCACCGTTACACCCTAAGGATGACTTGAGTTCGAATTTTGTTAAAATCAGCCCAAAATTGACAGACAAAATGGCCGCCATTCGTTCCCAAATAGCGTAAGAATATGGTATATCAAGGTTGTGGACCCTATAGGGGTCACAATTTTTATCCGATTTTGTTGAAACTTGAAATGTAAGTTTATAACCCAAAGATCTCAGTTCCTTTCGATATTCGTGCATAACGGACCGTAACTTCCTGAATTATGACCCCTGATTGTACGAAAAATCACGTTTTTAGCTTGTGGACCCTATAGAAGTCATAATTTTTACCCGATTTAAAAAAAAACGTATTATTATATCACCATTACACCATAGGGACGACTGAGTTTGAATTTCATGAAAATCGGCCCAAAATTGACAGACAAAATGGCCGCCGTTCAGTCTCAAATTTCGTGAAAATTGGCCCAAAATTGACAGACAAAATGGCCGCCGTTCGTTCTCAAATAGCGTAAGAAAATGGTATATCAAGGTTGTGGACCCTATAGAGGTCACAATTTTTATCCGATTTTGTTGAAACTTGAAATGTAAGTCTATAACCCAAAGATCTCGGTTCCTTTTGATATTCGCGCATATCGGACCGTAATTTCCTGAATTATGGCCCCTGATTGTACGTAAAATCGCGTTTTTAGCTTGTGGACCCTATAGAGGTCATAATTTTTATCCGATTTAAAAAAACGTATTATTATATCACCGTTACACCCTAAGGACGACTGAGTTTGAATTTCATGAAAATCGGCCCAAAATTGACAGACAAAATGGCCGCCGTTCAATCTCAAATAGCGTAAAAATATGGTATATCAAGGTTGTGGATCCTATAGAGGTCACAATTTTTATCCGATTTTGTTGAAACTTGAAATGTAAGTTTATAACACAAAGATCTCACTTCCTTTCGATATATGTGCATACCGAATTGTAATCATGTTTTTAGCTTGTGGACCCATTAGAGGTCATAATTTTTATCCAATTTAAAAAACCGTATTATTATATTACCGTTCCACCCTAAGGACAGTTGAGTTCGAATTTTGTGAAAATCGCCCCAAAATTGACAGACAAAATGGCTGCCGTTCATTCTCAATTAGCGTAAAAATATGGTATATCAAGGTTGGGACCCTATAGAGGTCACAATTTTTATCCGATTTTGTTGAAACTTGAAATGTAAGTTTATAACACAAAGATCTCAGTTCCTTTCGATATATGCGCATATCGAATTGTAATTTCCTGAATTATGGCCCTTGATTGTAGGAAAAATCACTTTCTTGTTAGCTTGTTCTCTATCCATCTCTCGAAAATGTGGGCGTATCCTGCCTGGCAGCCGCTGGTTAACTTGTGGACCCTATAGAGGTCATAATTTTTATCTGATTTAAAAAAACATATTATTATATCACCGTTACACCCTGAGGACGACTGAGTTCAAATTTCGTGAAAATCGGCCCAAAATTGACAGACAAAATGGCCGCCGTTCAATCTCAAATAGCGTAAAAATATGGTATATCAAGGTTGTGGATCCTATAGAGGTCACAATTTTTATCCGATTTTGTTGAAACTTGAAATGTAAGTTTATAACACAAAGATCTCACTTCCTTTCGATATATGCGCATACCGAATTGTAATCATGTTTTTAGCTTGTGGACCCATTAGAGGTCATAATTTTTATCCGATTTAAAAAACCGTATTATTATATTACCGTTCCACCCTAAGGACAGTTGAGTTCGAATTTTGTGAAAATCGCCCCAAAATTGACAGACAAAATGGCTGCCGTTCATTCTCAATTAGCGTAAAAATATGGTATATCAAGGTTGGGACCCTATAGAGGTCACAATTTTTATCCGATTTTGTTGAAACTTGAAATGTAAGTTTATAACACAAAGATCTCAGTTCCTTTCGATATATGCGCATATCGAATTGTAATTTCCTGAATTATGGCCCTTGATTGTAGGAAAAATCACTTTCTTGTTAGCTTGTTCTCTATCCATCTCTCGAAAATGTGGGCGTATCCTGCCTGGCAGCCGCTGGTTAACTTGTGGACCCTATAGAGGTCATAATTTTTATCTGATTTAAAAAAACATATTATTATATCACCGTTACACCCTGAGGACGACTGAGTTCAAATTTCGTGAAAATCGGCCCAAAACTGACAGACAAAATGGCCGCCCCTCGTTCTCAAATTGCGTAAAAATATGGTATATCAATGTTGTGGACCCTATAGAGGTCACAATTTTTATCCGATTTTGTTGAAACTTGAATTGTAAGTTTATTTATCAAAGATCTTGGTTCCTTTCGATATTTGCGCATATCGAATTGTAATTTCCTGAATTATGGCCCTTGATTGTAGGAAAAATCACTTTCGTTTTAGCTTGTTTTCTATCCATCTCTCGAAAATGTGGGCGTATCCTGCCTGGCAGCCGCTGGTTTTTAATTTAGTACTAGCCTAGTCAACCGGTGTTGGAACAGGTGAAAAATCTCTATTTTTCTAACAGCGATTAATGCAATAATAAGTAATTTTCAATTTCATTATTAAATATACTGCACCTAGTACAAAATAAACAGCACCATTAAATTTGTTGTAAAAAATGGTTATTATGAAGTTATTTTGAAATATACAAGTTGAACTATTTGGTTTCCTATAGCTAACAAACAGCTAACTTTCTCTTTTATATATATACTAGAAGGATACCCGGCTTCGCCCGGGGCTCAATTTCGACTGGAGACCAATTCGTCAGGGGCCGAACAGTCACAAATATTAGTATAGAGAGATTTATGACTCATATTGATTTGATTTTTGGGGGATTTTTCATTATCATTTATGCGAAATTTATCAAGGCTTAATTGATTAATATGTTTATCTTATAGGCAGCTGCTGAACTAGGTAAAAAGGTAGCTTTATTAGATTTTGTTAAACCCACTCCACAAGGTACATCATGGGGTTTAGGTGGTACATGTGTAAATGTTGGTTGTATACCAAAAAAATTAATGCACAGATCTGCTATTTTAGGTGAGATTATTTTATAATTTCTTTCTTAACTTTACTTTGTTTATAACAGAGCAATCAGTCTTCTTGCTAAAGCTCTATACCAATGTGTTTCATAAAGACAATAAATAAAGAAGTGAAGAAACCTGATAAATCAATTCTTGGCTACGTTCCATATGAAAACATACACTAAATTACATCATTGCTGAAGAACAGTCTAATCAATATTTAATGTATAAATATATTTTAAGTAAAATTGAGAATTTGGATGAATTACAGGTGAAGAATTAAGTGATGCCCAAAGTTTTGGTTGGGATGTTAAAACAGATGGTAAGTTTATTGTTTATATAAGATGATAATAATATTATGTGTAGAAGAAGAATACAAGTAGTTGTCAATTTTACTTTAAATTACTCACCAGACATGTCAAATTCTTCTTTTCATCATGAATTTCACGTTATTCAGCTTAAAATACATTAATTTCGCCATTTTGTAAAAGGAGTGGTGAAGTGACTTTCGTGTTCACAACTAGAAAATTTGCAAACTTTTCAAGTGAGAAACTTGTAATTTCTGATAATGCAACATCTGTCATCTAATGCAGTTTTAAATTAATTGATATTATCCATCACTGTCCCTGTACTAAATGATCATGTATATTTTTAGCCAAACACAGTTGGGACAAAATGAGAGATGCAATTCAGGTAATATTTGGTTATGGTTTATTTATCAATAATTGACTATAAAATGTTGGTTTTGTTTATGATGAGATAAAGATTAACTCTGCTACACTCTAGCTCAAGACATACCCAAAGAACAGCTTTCTAGGATTTACATCTTATTGGCTATAAATGATTATGGAAAGCCAATCAAATCTTTTTTGGCCCATCTGCCTGTCATTATTTTTATACGCCCACATTTTCATGTGGATGTATATTGTTGTCGCCCCTGTCCGTCCGTCCACAATTGTTTGTGAACAGTCTACAGGTCACAATTTTTATCCGATTTCAATGAAACTTGAAATATAGGTTTATCACCCCCAGATCTTGGTTCCTTTCGATATTGCCATGTATCGGACTGTAACTTCATGGATTATGGCCCCTGATTGTACGAAAAATCATGTTTTTTGGTTGTGAACACTGTAGAGGTCACAAATTTTATCCAATTTGGTTTAAACTTGAAATGTATGCTTATAACCCAAAGATCTTGGTTCCTTTCGATATTCCGCATATCGGAACATAACTTCCTGAATTATGGCCCCTGATGTGGACCCTATAGAGGCCATAATTTTTATCCCATTTAAAAAAACCATATTATTATATCACCGTTAAACCCTAAGGACCGCTGAGTTCGAATTTCGTGAAAAACGGCCCAAAACTGACAGACAAAATGGTCGCCCCTCGTTCTCAAATTGCGTAAAAAATATGTTATATCAAGGTTGTGGACCCTATAGAGGTCACAATTTTTATCCGATTTTGTTGAAACTTGAAATGTAAGTTCCTTTTGATATTTGCGCATATCGAATTGTAATTTCCTGAATTTGTTCAACAGAAGTTAATCAGCCACATAGTGTGTGGGATGTTACACAGTTATTTTTTAAAGAAGCAAATTTGTAGGTTTTCTTTGATATGGTAGCACCCGAACAACATGTTTGAGGAGTGTTTACTTTTAAGTACCTATGCTGCATATGTGTTAAAAAAAATTTGCTTGGCCACAAGAATGGGAAAGTGTAGACATGTTTCATAGACAAAGAAATTATTGAACTTAACCCACTTAGTTTAGCATTTTGTTATCTTTCTTTTTTAACAGGATCATATTGGTTCATTAAATTGGAATTACAGAGTTCAACTCCGTGAAAAATCAGTGACATATTTAAATGCTTATGGAGAATTTATAGGACCGCACAGATTAAAGGTAATCATGCTTTTCAAATATGTTCACTTGTCATAGGTGATTAATAAAAATTTGAAGATCAAATTTAGGCCTGGTTTTGAGGTCATTATTTCTTCTTGTGTTGATAGATTTTACTGTAAAGAGTCGATGATATATTTTAGGAGGTAATACATTTCAGACAACCAAAAAGAATAATAAAGTAGAAGAAATAACCGGTGAAACATTTATAATAGCTACAGGTGAACGTCCCAGATATCCAGATATACCTGGTGCTAAAGAATATACAATAACCAGGTAAAATATAGTGTATTATTCTAAAACAAGGAATTAATGTGAGCAGCAAATCAAATTAATAAATGCAACCCAGTGATTTTCCTGATACATTTCTGTGAAATGGCAGTATTGTCAAGCATCCCCCAAAAACAAATATCAACAACTTGACTGATAAAATGGTTGTCCACTATAACATAATAATGGTCTAAGTAATGGTCATGTTGCTACCTGTGTTCAAAAACCTACATGATTGACAGTGGTCATTTAAAAAAGATTGTGTTTCTTTAAATGCAGATTTTTCTTATAGCTTCTCTCTGATCTACTGATGTCCATTTTTGTTCAAATTACTTTTTAACTACACTTTATTTTGTAAGTTAGGATGTGAATAGGCTAATGAAGATGGATGTTAGGATGGTTTCAAGTCATTTCAATATTTGTTTGGAAAATAAAATGTAGAAATGATTTAATTATTGTTTTGTTTCAGTGATGATTTATTTTCTCTACCATACTGTCCCGGTAAAACACTATGTATTGGTGCTTCATATGTATCATTAGAATGTGCTGGATTTTTAGCCGGATTAGGTTTAGATGTAACAGTTATGGTACGATCAATATTATTACGTGGTTTTGATCAACAGATAGCAGAATATATAGGCGAATATATGTCTGAACACAAAATATTTTTCCACAGAGGTTATGTTCCTGTTAAGGTAAATATTTTCTAATAATTCACCGCTTAAAGATGCATTATGTAAGAGCTTAATCTGCCAATTGCAGGTCTTTATTCTGGCTTCAAATGTTACATGTTACAACTCTCTCGACCATGAATGACCCAGATATTAAGTAGATTAGAACACTGTTGCCATTTAAAAGTTTAACAATGAAATAGAAAATCAAGACTTAGTCAACTCTTGCTACTATAATAAACAATCTACACTGCATTTTTTCAAAACTTCAAACATTCATAACTTATTAGCACAGAATAAAGTAATTTGACTAAAATTTTAATATTTTCATATTTCATTGTCTATCTATGAACATAACAAGAATAGCCATTTCTTTATCTAATTATTACACACTGTGTCTTTAATATTGTTTTCATGAAAATGTCACCTAGTATTATGTTGTGTGTGTTGAAAGAATAAGATTTACTGAAACTAATTGCAAAAAAAGGATTTCATTATGGAGTTTAATTAGTTTAATTATATAAACAATGAATAAATTTACCGATGACAATTTGTCTTTTATAGTCTTTTTTATTGTATCACCAAAAATTACCTTAAAAGATTAAAACCTTACCTCCGTCTTTTAGAAGGCAACTGTGCAAAACAATAAAATTGAAATTATGATTTTCTAGATAGAGAAATTAGAAGATGGACAACCGGGTAAATATAAAGTAACAGCTAAATCAACAACAACTGATGATATTATAGAAGAAGAATATAATACAGTAAGTTATATCAACATGTTAATGTGATCACCTTGTATTGATGTCATCTCTTTGAAGACATGTAAAATCAGTACCTTAGTTTAGATTTGCTAGGCCATTTATGAAAAGGAAATCTGTTGAAAAACAGAACCACACATTGATTCCTTATCTGTATCTTGTTAATGTTACCAGTAGTAATATGGATTTGTCTGCCCTTTCTGGTGTACCCACTACATTTTCACTGACTGTACTCTAAAGCATCAAAGATTGAATTTTTGAAGATATGAAGTTGGTGGAAATAATTCTTTGGGTAGACTAACAAGTTCGATATTTATGCTGATCAATTTGAATAATGAAACTATAGATTCCCAATTATGTATTAGATATACAGTGAAACTAATTATTGTTACAATTTATTTGTAGATATTATTAGCTATTGGTAGAGATCCATGTACAAGTGGTATAGGATTAGAAGCAGTTGGTGTTCAACTAAATCCTAAGTATGCTATATTTCTACTTACACATCATCAAATGAGTATTGTAGCAATATCACCAACTGGCATACAAGTGGTTAGGGCATTGAACTCTCTGACTGGAATTTTTTAAGTTTGAATCCTCAGGAAATATCTTCAGGATTTTTCAAGCCCAACGGCTGACAAGACAAGTGTGCCTTGAAGTGCTTATTAGACAAAAAAAACAAGGTCCATTGGTGTGCAAGTATTAAAAAAAAAACCTTGACAGATGGAAATGCTGTTGTCCAGACAAAATCATCCTAGCTTGCATTGCACACCTAAGTGTTGTGTTGATGAGACATTAAACACCATTCCATTTCTTTCCATATAATGACATCAACTTCACATTATAGTAATAAGGCACTGGCATGAATTGTCATTGATGAATAAGTTCTTTATGAAAATACAGAATGCATGTAGAATTTTAACAGTAATTTTGTCTTGTTATGTGAGAACTAGAATATCAGGAATATATTTTTGAAATGTATATTGTATATTATAGGAATGGTAAATTATTATGTAATGAAAAGGATCAAACGAATATAGATTATATATATGGTATAGGTGATATAGTTCAAGGTGTACCAGAATTAACACCAGTAGCAATACAAGCTGGTAGATTATTAGTCAACAGATTATATGATAATTCCAACACCCTTGTAAGTATAAACTTTACTATGACACACCAGATCTTTTGTATATGTACCAGATTTCTCTTGGGCCTTCTGTTCAAAAGAAATAAAACATTTTGTGAGCGTTAACAAGCAGTTTTACCTATTAACAAACTACAAAGAATTTTATGCACAATGTGGTTCTCAGTCCATCTAACTTCTTGTGATCAATTTACAGATTAGGGTTTTTGAGATTATTTTTTTCTTTTGAAAATAGACCTTTGTAAAAGAAAAAAAAAGACCTCCGGTGAACTTGTTGCTGGTGGATGTATTTTTCGTAGCATAGCAAACAGACTTTTCCAGTTTTATTCTAATAGTAATAGTTAAAAAAAAAACAAACCCCAAAACAGGTCCTGTGTACAAATTGGTAGTTATGGGGGAAGGCTATCCAGAAATTTTTATTCTGAAATATTAAAGCTATTGAATTGAAAATAGTACAAGTAGTTAGGAAATGTAATAAACAAGGGAAAACTAGCATTAAAAAAAAGTTGTTGCCAGGGTAAACTAATATGTACCACAGAATCAGACAGAAAGCAATTTGAATTATTAATATTTCAAAATTTATCAAAATATTTCTCCAAAAACAAAATATTGTGGCGAGACAAATGTTTTAAACATTATTTTCCAAGAAACTATAAAAATTATAGAGAAAAACTCTGTCTGGTTTTGGGGTTATCATTAAAGAATAGGCATCCCGAAAATGAAACATTTATCTTTAATAGTGCCAGAGATATGGTGTACCTACATTTTCATACTTTTTCCAAAAAAATGTGTTACCCTGGCAACAACTTTTTTTTCTTTATTTTTAATGTTAGTTTTCCCATGTTTATTACACTTCCTAACTACTTGTGCCATCTTCAATTCACTAGCTTTAGAATTTCAGAAAGCATTTTTTGGGTAGCCTCACCCCTAATTAATATAAAAAAAACCTTGATTTTGAAATATGAAGAAAAGGAGGCTAAAACACAAAATTATCACTTTCCCTATGCATACGTGACCATAGAAGTACTATTTGTTAGTCTCAGATATGGCCTAAGTAAAGTGTCAACAACACATTATTAAACACCATTCCATTCCTTCTTATCATAGATATAACAGATATTTATAGTGTTGGTAATTTTAATTTATTTTAGTGTGATTATCAGTCTGTAGCTACAACGGTATTTACTCCAATTGAATATGGTTGTATTGGTTATTCAGAAGAAGCTGCCCTGGAAAAATTTGGAGAAGAAAATATAGAGGTAAATTTATCTCTTATGAGATATTTCATGAAATATATTCAGAGACAATTGAAAGAGTATAAAATATGGTTGAAACATCTGTTTTAGGTATTTTACCCTTAATTTAGATGTTCTTAGCTGTAGATTTGATTTTAACCATATCTTTATTACTGTAGGAAGAAAACTTTAGGTGTTTTGTTGTAGCATTTTTATTTCTATTTACTTTTATTAACCCGTTAAGTGCGTAGGTCGTTATATAACGTCCTGGACAACTGCCACTCACTGTGTGTAGGGCATAATAATAACACCTTGGAGGTATTTTCCCCCAACCTATTCTTAGAACATAGTTCATCACTTGATTCCCCCACGATCGCAGCATGTGTAGGACGTTATATTACGTCCTGGACAACTGCCACTCACTGTGTGTAGGGCGTAATATAACGCCTTGGAGGTATTTTCCTCCAACCTATTCTTAGAGCATAGTACATAGTTCTATGTCACTTTGTCAAATTAATTACACAATAGGGGGTAGTTAATATTTTAAAAACGTCACGCTTAACGAGTTAATTTGGGATTGGATCATTGGGTAGAAATTGCCGTCTGACAAATTTTCACAATTCAAGTTTTAACATTTCGTCATTTGAAAGTTTGTTATTGAACTGAATACATTAGTTTACAGTATAGAAGCTTGAACTGTGGCTATTTACTCATTCATATTTAAATCATCTGCTATATATCACATCCCGCTATCAGAAAACATCACTAATAACATGCTTCATCTATAAAGTTTACTCAAAATCTATCAGATTTATGGGTTATTATTAAAATTTAGGAATTGTAAAGAAATTTGACAGTGATTTAATTTGATATTAATTTCAGATATACCATTCTAATTATTATCCTTTAGAATGGACAGTACCACATAGAGAAGAAAATGTTTGTTATGCTAAACTGATATGCCTTATACCAGAAAAGGTAAATACAAAGAGATAAATGTCTATAAATCCTTTTTATGTGCCCATATTTGAAAGATAAAATTGGCACCCCAAAATCAATCATGTTTTCAGAGTTCCTGCCTTTGCTTTTTAAATTATGGGGGTACTCGATTGGTCGTTCCGGAATAAAATTCTCTCAATCCCAAAAATAGTGACAATCGAGTGAAAAGGGGTATTTTGGGTTACAACACATGCATCGACTGAATAAGAAAATATCTCAAGCAGCAGAAACATATTCCTTGTGTTTAATTACGTCTCAATTCTACTCACACCACCTCCATTGTCGGCACTGACAGAACTGTGACAGGAATGAATTCCGCGCCGCTCGATTGCAATTCTGTTAATTCAGGACTTTCTGGACTGACAATCGAGCACCCCCCTTGTGGAGAGGGTGGAGTTATCTGGTTTTGATAAAAAATTTAATGACATGAATATTTGTTATATCATTATGTGCCCCATCTAATTTCGAACCAAGTATTGGTTATTGCCCTATTCTGTTTTAGGATGATGTCAGTGCCATGCTAATTTTCCGTCTTGAATATGTAACAATTTGTTCAATTATAGTGGATAGAGTTTTACACATTGCTTCCAAAACAAGCTGGAGAATGGAATTTTAAACTTTCAAAATATTCATTGTCAAAGTTAGTTTATGTTTGTGTGGTTTTTTTTTCTTGAATTATAATATATACTTGAAATCTGTATGTTATCTGTTTAGGAGCGTGTAGTTGGATTCCATGTGCTTGGGCCAAATGCTGGAGAAATAACTCAAGGATATTCTATTGCTATGAGAAAAGGAGCAACCAAAGAAGACTTTGATATGACAATTGGTATTCATCCCACTTGCTCAGAGGTAAGTTGAAATTGAATTTCCAGTAATAACAATAAATATGGCTCATTAGAGAAACATACTTTCTGTGTTTTGATCAAATATGAAGAGTGGATTTTGCTGACAGTTTGTCGTTATTCTATCCGATTTCAGCATTTTTGTTAACTTCACTTGTACTATTTTGGAGGAACAGTCTATCTGAAAACAGTATAAAGGATACCAGACAATTTCATGTTCAAAAGTAGTATTTACAATACCTCACTATATTGTTGATTATTTATTTCAGATATTTACCACAATGAATATAACAAAGAGAAGTGGGGGTGATACGGCTGTAGCGGGTTGCTGAGGTTAATTCCCTGTTGTCACTTAAAGAAAAACATTTTCCTCTCTTAAATAACATGTACCATCATTCTTACAGTGAGAAAATCATATCCAATTCTAGATATCAATTTAACTTATTACAAATTGTCTCTCAATTTTCCGGTGAAATTCATTAAATGTTTTGATATATGATAAATTTACTGTTAAGAGAATTCCTATTTAAGATTAGTGTATTTTGTTTTTCTTGATGACAACAGGGGTCAAATTGACCAGGTCATGTTGAGGACAGGTGCACAGATGTATGTGCTGTATGATAGATTTGTTCTGAAACCTACCTGTAGGGTGAACAAAACTTGATGATACCTATCTCCAAAACATGGCGTTTATGAAAAGGACTTTAAAATTTTCAAAGAAACACATTGATTACTGGTTACAAATGTTAACTTTTGTATAACTTCTGAAACATTGTCTTTAAATATTTACTCGAAAATAATTTTCAAATCCGTCCACTCAAAGCAAAGATTATACAGAGGTTTGAAAAGCTTGGTTTCTAATTATCAAGTATTGTTAGTGTATTGTCCCATTCCTGTTGCAACGCAGCAGCAAGTTCTTGGACATTGGCAGGACGTTGTTGACGTTGACGTAACCTCTGTCCAAGCATGTCCCAGACATGCTCGATGGGGGAGAGGTCGGGACTCAGTGCTGGCCAAGGTAATGTGGTGATGTTCTGTTGTTGGAGGTAACCTGTAACGATCCTGGCCCTGTGACATCTTGCATTGTCATCCTGGATGATGAAACGGCGGCCATGACGTCGTGCGAACGGCACAACATGGACTGCCAAGATGTTGTCCCGGTAGTACTGGCCTGTAACACGCCCTGCAACAACATGTAAAGCTGTTCTTCCAGCTAGTGATGCCTCCCCACACCATAACAGAACCACCCCCAAATCGATCATGTCTGATGACGTTAACGTCTTGGAAGCGCTCGTTTCGACGACGCCAAACCCTCCTACGTCTGTCCAAAAAATCAACAGTGAACCTCGACTCATCTGAAAACATCACATTGCTCCAGTGTTGACGATCCCTACACCAACGACGTCTTGCCTGAATGTGATGATCTCTCAAACAAGGGATCACGCGAGGACGTCGGGCGCGAAGGTGACCCCTATGTAGTCAATTCCGAATCGTCTGGCCACTCACTCTCACACCAGTGTCTGTTTGAAGACGAGCGCTGATCTGATTTGCTGTGATGACATGATTTCTCAAGGCCAAGGTACGGATAAATCGATCCTGGGCTTGAGTTGTCGCCCTTGGTCGACCTGAGCGTGGTCTGTCCTGTACAGATTGTGTATCACGGTATCTGGACCATAGCCTGCTTATGACAGACTGAGAAACATTCATCGTCCGCGCCACAAGTCAGAGTCGTGCAAATCTTGGGTTGGACCCCCATGATGATCCCAAGCATCACCTGCATTCCATGCAGTAGCTATTGGTGCGTTTGGGCGTCACATGTAACTGGAAATGTTTCTTCTGTTAGGTTCTATAGTGACTTTTTTCGTAGTCATTTGCATATTTTAGTATTATGCCCCCAAAATCAAATATCCCCTACTTTTTTTGAATAGTATATAATAATGTAAGTTTTTAAGTCTTTTCCATCCAATGCAATCTAATTAAAATTAGATCTTTTTTTGTTTGTTTCATTTTAAATATTTGTTAGTCGACACTATATTAAGATTTGTCTACTTCTCTATTAGGTGCTTGTTCTCGTTGGAATCTTACTTAAGCCATCATGATTGGCTAAAACTGTTACTATCGAAGGAAAAGCATCTATTCAATTGAACACAAATTTCACTGTGCGGTAGTTTAAATGTTAGCATGAAATAAGAAACAAAAGAATGATTTAATTCTAATTAGACTGACCATTAATCATGATATTAGTTTATAAATATTTTAGTGTCTTAAAATTGTATAATTGTAAATAATTTAGTTTAAGAAAAGTGATGTGATAGAATAAATAAATGATATACAGAATACTGTAACTGTTTTTGTTTGTACCTTTTACTCGGACGTTTCTTAAAAAGTGGTTGTAGCCTCAGGGTAATAGATATGAAAATAAATATTCTGGGTTGCCTTATAATTAGTGCTACATTTTGTTTGATTTCTAAAATCACTTTTTTTTGTCTTGTTAAGACTGACCTAAATAAAAATATAGCATTAGAGTAGTGAACTTTTAGGGATTCTTTTTTGTTAACTGATTAGTGAATACAAATATTTTGAGTATAAATATTGAAAATATACCCATTCATAATTATCTGCGGATGTAAATTAATTTCTTTTTAGAATTTACCAGTCTTAAGAGATAAATTATGAAAGTGTACAGCAGTTTTTGGAAATATAAGGAAAATTTGTCAAAGTTTATTATACCAGAATGTTTGACAACGAAACTTCCATAACAGTACAACAGCAGCTCAAAAACTGTTTTATCATATAATTGCTGCTAGATTTCTTTCTATTTACCTGTATCAACTGTAGAAGTCTTTTCCAAAATGATGCTTTACCTTTCCCACAAAACATTTATAACATCACTATTTAATTTGAATAATTTTGAATTTGTTAATTTTAAAGAAAATTGATAGTTTTTCCCCATAATACCACCTTAGAAAAGAATTCTGCAGCTATATTTTTTTATATACTGGTTTGCTGATTGCTAATTTATTATAGGAATTTAGAGAAATAAAGTCGTCAATTTTACCAAAAACAATGTTATCTTTTTATGCTCTGCTTCAACTGGGATGAAAAAACTATCATCTGTGAGAAATTTATTGCATTAAAGTTATTAAATACTATGGCTGTATGATAATACAGAATTTGAGAAAAACTTGTATTTGTATTACAAGTTTAAACAAATGTGTCATTTAGTTGTTCTAAAATTGTCCAGTTTAATTAACTATATATATTTTGCTAGATGATAGAACATAACACAAACCCTTCAGAACAATATGGGAGCCACAGTAAGTAAGTTGCTGGCTTACTAATAGACCAGGGGTCAGGCTAGTTGACAAGTGCACCAATTTCCTCCTGTATGGTATCAAATTTATACCATATAGGAGAAAATCGGTACACTTTGTCAATGCATGTATATCTGGTATCATCAGAATGTAAGTCTGCCGGGTATCTGATGGTGGGTGTGGCTGTGAGGGTTGGGATTCTGGGCGTGAATTCTTCGGCTAGATAAGCTCAAAAGTGTACCACATGAAAATCGTACAGCAGTGTACCTTACATCTTTAGGTATTACAAAAACACTTTGACAGACATTTCTAGTGGTGGGTACCCCTGAGAGAGCTATGTAATTGCAGGACATTTGTAGTGGTGGAATGTCCCTGACAAGAATTATCTAATTTCCAGACCACAGCTAGGCTAGATTAGCTGAAATCTGTACCACCTAAAACAGCTTTGAAGTTGTTCAATACCACCACAGGAATCATGAATGACCACTGCCAGACAGTTTGTACGGTGGGCTACCCCTAACAGACACGCCCCCAACTAGACTAGATTAGCGGGCACTGTTCCTGTGTTCTAAAACATTAACTTCTTTGCCAGGATGCGTAGAATACTAATACCTAGTACATATGGAAGAGGTGATAAACTGTGGCTTCGGTTCTATAACCACAAGGTCCTGTGTTCGATCCTGGTGTTGGCTGAGAAAGTTTCTCCCGACTTTTCAGCATGGCTTCCCCTTCTCAGGGGTGCAGGACCGATGGCTTTGGCAAGGCACAGCATCTAGTCCATTGGCTGTTAGAATTCAGATAGAGAGAGAAATGGGGTTTAACGTCCACTCGACACAAACTAGGTCATTTCGGGACTAACATGGTTTAATTTTATTTCAATAATTCGCACGCTAACCATTCAGCCATCCAACCCCCCAGAATTCAGAGAAGAGTAATAGACAGAATAATGGTCTTGAAAAGCAGGACTGAAATAATTATGTTCTTTGTATCCATAGAATATTGGACGGACCATTTTACCTTACAGATCTAAATAAGAATGTTCTGGCATGTTTACATAGAATAATGCATACACTTTTGGTTAAAATAACATTAATACACCTAGCTACATAATATATACTGTGGGGAGCCATGATGGCTAAGTGGGTAAGACGCTGGCTTGCTAGCCTGGAAGTCGCATGTTCGATCCCTGCATTGGCCGAGAAAGTTGATCAGGATTTTCCGACCTGGTTTCCCCTTGACTGAGGTCCCATGTATACTTTGGTGTGCACGTTATTGTGCCATTACCCTCATAGCATATGCTCGTCTTCATTAGCCTAGTCGGAACAGAACAGTGGGACGTTAAACCCCATTTCATTTCATTTCATTTCAATAGATACTGTAATAAATGTTTTCACTTAACATGTCACATTGCTTCATTAAAATCAAAGTAAGCATATTTTCAATAGGAGACAGAAACTGGTCAAATTCCATTAGTTTTAATGGGCATAGAATAACCAATACTAATAAATCTGTTACAATAGCTTTGAAAAACTATTTGAATATTGGTGTGAACATTAGCAAGCATATTAATGTGGAACAAAGAATTTTTTTCAAAAATATTTTTATTTACCGGTACTGTAACATAACAATCCATTATAACAATACTAAAACAATAGATATTTTTATATGACGGACAATGACAGTCATTTATCAGATCTTTTTTTAAAGGAGAAATCCATGATATTTAAGTGAGTAAAACTGGTTAATTCTGTTGGTCTGAAGCTCAGTTGCCAAATGGAGTAAAGATGTTCATGTGCCTGGATATATCAATCAACTCAGTTTCATGCATAGTGACCAGCTGTCTTTTTTATTTTTCCGTTTACAAACAGAATTGAATAGTCCTGTTTATTAGGTCAATCCATATTCGAGGTGAAATTTTCAGTCAAGAATAGGGCAGGCTGTTTCTTTACATATTGGTTGTATTTGTTCTCTTAAATAGATTTTAATTTTTGAGACCCAGTGAAAATTTGACTTCTTCTAATGTAAGCAATAATGCTGAAAATTTATAGAAGTGTAAACTATGCTTCGGAAATTCATCTAGCTATAAACTATGTGACAGTACTTGATAATTTCAATATATTTTGTAGTCAATGAATGTATGTGGTGGAAATAATCTTTACCTAAAAAACAGTGTCAATTAATGGGAACAATCAACAAGTACAAATAATTTATAATATATTTAATAAAAAATAAAATTATCCTAACATATAACACATACATAAACTTATGCGTCAAGATTTTGAGTCATCTTTAGGTTTATCAATTTCAATAAGTGGTCTCCAGAAGAGCAGTTTCTTTGTTTTTTTCGGCATTAATTTAGCATCTGGTACAAATTTTTTAAATTCACCTACATTTAATTTGGATAATAAGTCCGCTGCATGATTCTCCATCCTACGAACATGCAACGCTTTTAAACGTATATTATATTTGGCACACATCTGTATCATTATCATATAAAGTTTTCCATACGTCTGTAGTTGATTTTTATCACAGCAACGAGGTCCTTCATTAGTATATTGTACAGCACTCATATTGTCTGACCAACATAACACTCGCTTATCAACAAATTTATGTTTCCATGTGTAGCATGCTGAAACTAAGGCATAATACTCGTAAAATGTATTATTAATCCTTGCACCCTTCTGTTTTAAATCAATATGGGGAAAATGTTTTGCCCATGGTTCAGATATCCAGTTGATTTTTCCCTCATCTTTAGTAAGTAGGTAAGCACCAAAACCAGACTGAGAAGCATCCACATAAATTTCAAAATGAGGAGAAAATTCTTCCCTTGTTAATGGTTTCTTCTGGCTCAACGAAGACAACTGAAATTTTCTACTTATTTTGGGTATCTTTTCCATAGCCAAGCAATTTCTTTTATTCAATAAACCTATTGTCTTCAAAAACAAAAAGAAAAAAACCATATGAGTTAAGTTTGGATGAGACAAGTTTCTATGTAGGCTACACATATTCGATACAAATTTTGGATGAACTGAGACTAACAATTAATATTTTGCTTGGATATAAAGGAAACCTATGAATAACAAGCCAACAGTGAGGCTGATGTCCCCTGCCGAAATACCAAAATAAATAGATGACATACATTAATTAATCGCACATTTATTTTTTTTTCAAGAGTATCAAGCAATCAAACTATACACATTAGGCGTTTTTACGAGAAAACAAATCGGTTTCGATTACCTATCTCGTTTTGTACAAAGACATAGGTCTCGAGTTGGTATTCGAATTGGTTCTCGTAAACACGATGAGTTGCCTCGCAAGATGGCTGAAAACTGAAGAATTGAGGAAAAATTTTAAAAAAATTCACTTTTCTTTATTATGTTCTTGGCGACACCGCCCAAAAATAAAAACGAAAAGTTGTACAAGTTGACTGTCCCCAAATGCACTGTATCTTTATTAGGAATGTCCATAATATTCATATTTTAACGTGAAATTCAAAAGAAGATGATCTAACGTCGGGCACGTCGTGTCCCTTGTTGGGGACGCCATCTTGGAAATCGAATCGTCAATCCGGCAGGCGAGCAAGTTGGAAGATTTGCATAATCGATTTGGCAAATCGTCGTGATAAATACGACTATAAGGTGAAACCGATTAGGCTAATTTTTGCCGTAAATGTGTTTGGAAAGGAAATGCAAATCAATTAGCCCTAATCGGTTTCTCGTAAAAATGCCTTAAGTTTCGTCACTCTCTATCAGATAGAATCAAGATTATCTTGTCCCAAAGCATTGACCAATGAAATTGATTAGCTCTGCTTAGCTTCGACTCAAAATGTTAACCATTGAACTCAGTCAAGACATTCACCTAATGAACATCTACATCAAGTCTAAACATTCTACCTCAATTAAAAGCAGAGTTGTTAGTCATGGTAATGATATAATGAATCTATATTCGGAGTTCCATCGCTCTCACTTCATTATAACCAAAGTTATCGTGCCTCAAAGCATCAACCAATCAGATTGCTTATTTCTCCTTACTGTAAGCAGACAATGTTCATCATAGAAATCAATAAAGGCATTCGCCTAAAGAATGACTATACCAAGTTTAAACATTCTGCCTCAATTAGAAGGAAAGTTATTGTGTTCCAAAGTCTCGACCAATCAAATTGCTTATCGCTCTGCTTACCCTCAGCAGAAAATATTCATAATCGAACTTAGTCAAGGTATTGATGTAATAAAACTATACACCAAGTGTCCTCACTCTCACTTAATTAGAACTGGAGTTCTTGTGTCTCATGTATTTCAACCAAGCAAATTGCTTATCTCTGCTTACCGTAAGCCGAAAATTCTCATCTTCAAACTCCATCAAGGCATTCACCTAATAGACACCTACGCCAAGTGTGAACATTCTAACTCAATTAGAATGAGGGTTATTGTGTTCCAAGGTCTCGACCAATCAAATTGATTATCGCTCTGCTTACCCTGAGCAGAAAATGCTCATTATCAAACTTAGTCAAGGTATTGATGTAATGAAACTATACACCAAGTTTCATCACTCTCGCTTAATTAGAACTAAAGTTATCGTGTCCAAAAGCATCAACCAATCAAATTGCTTATCTCTGCTTGTCCTAAGCAGAAAATGCTCATCTTCGAACTCCATCAATGCATTGACCGAATAAACACCTACACCAAGTTTGAAGATTCTAGCTCAATTAGAAGGAGAGTTATTGTGTCCCAAAAAGTGTGACAGACAGACAGACGGACGAACCCCTTTTAATAGTCCCCTGCTTTCTTCGAACTAAAGTTATGGTGTCCCAAAGCATCAACCAATCAAACTGCTTATCTCTGCTTACCCTAAGCCGAAAATGATCATCTTCGAACACTATCAAGGCATTGACCTAATAAACACCTACACCAAGTTTGAACATTGTAGCTCAATTAGAAAGAGAGTTATTGTGTCCCAAAAAGTGTGACAGACAGACAGACGGACGAACCTCTTTTAATATTCCCTGCTTTCTTCGAAAGGCGGGAGACAATAAAAATATGCACATTTAAGTCGCAAATAGTTCTTTGCTCAAGGCCGTACAAAGTCTAGACTCAGATGTGTTTTCTAGACTCGATGCTAGTTTAATATTCGGGAATAATGAATTCAAAAAAACAGGCACTGTGTGAACATATGGTTTTGAGAACAGAGTACACATCCAGGAGAATATAATGATAAGGCCGTTTTCCATTTAAACTCTTAAAGAGCGAGCTTAAAGTCTATTCTGGATTTGAGTGCTCATGTAATGTAACTATGCGAGATTTCCTGAGGTGATGAACTGATGATTCAGGTTGCAGTATTTTAAAATTAACAGTCTTGATTTTTGATAACAGGTTATGGATTATAGCGAATAAGATGGTATCAGAGGCATCAAATGGGAAGTGGTATACAGTCCTCTAGAAAAAGTAAGCATACCCTGCCAATAATGGGAAATTTTCACTATGGTTTAACCTATTACATCCTCTTATTACCTTACCTTTAGACGCATTGATGTCAATAAACATGTCATATATTGTGTAGAATGGAGAGATGAACCAGAGGTTGTTACACTAAAAGAATATGGCCACGGAACTCGTAATTCAGACTGCCAAACTGGTGAATCCTCTTCTTTCACTTTAGTTGTGGAAAGGTTAAAGTTATATTGACTGTGTGTATTTAAACCTGTGTATGTTCCTTTCTCATATAACATTTGTAAAACTAGAAAGACATAATTTTCATCTACTGCCATCATCTTTCCATCCTTCTCAAATAACATTCCTAGATGCTGTAAAATATAACAAATATCATTCCTATATACTGTTAAATATAAAAAATATCCTACCTAGATGCTGTAAAATATAACAAATATCATAACATTACTAGATGTTGTTAGGTATAACAAATGTCATTTCTAGATATAACAAATTCTTGGACATAACAAATATCATTCCTAGATGTTATAAAATACAACAAATATCATTCCAAGATGTTATAAAATATAACAAATACCATTCATAGATAGATGTTGCAAAACATAACAAATATTATTCTTTTGTGTTATAAAATATAATAAATATCATTCCTTCGTATTATAAAATATACTCTTCAAAAAAAGTAGGGGATATTGAAATGCAAATACCTATGCAGGTTGTGATATAATAAATAGTCATGGACATTTGACATGCTTTGAGAGTATGTTCACAGATGAAGAACTTGTCACCCCAACAGAACCACTGAGCTGCACATATGACACGCAAGAGCGCCATACACGTGGGAGGGGTTCATTGTCAAATTTGACACTTCAAGGAAGGGTTGATGAAAACTGCCGCATGCTGGTTTATCTATCCATGTTTGCTTTCCTATCGGTTCTTGCATAAGATTTACTGTTTAGCGTATCTTTGCTTTAGTGTGTTACTTTTAATTTGATCGGGAAATGTGTTCGTCGACGTCAACGTCAACCTACAAAACACTGCAAGAATTGGCAGTGGCACTGCAAGAGGAGTGGGTCAGATTGCCCCAAATCGTGACTGGACGGTTGATTAGGAGCATGCCACCACGAATTGCTGAATGTCTGAGGATTGGTGAGCAATTACTCATTATTAAGACAAAAATCAAAAACGTCCATTTTCACTTTTGACGGTGTATCTCTTTGCGAGTGAAATGGGGCCGTCAGATAAGCCGCCCATATGAACTGTTTATGTTCATGTGTAGGCAATTGGCCTGTTATTAACATGCACTGGTTACCTCTAATAAAAACAGAAGTGCATTTCCGCAGTTTTGTATTGTTTCTGAATATCCCCTACTTTTTTTGAAGAGTATGTAACAAATAACATTCCTGATGTTACAAAATATAACAAATATCATTCTTAGATACATAGAGAGAGAGAGAAATGGGGTTTAACGTCCACTCAACACAAACTAGGTCATTTCGGGACTAACATATGGTTCAATTTTATTTTCATAATTAGCTTGCGCGTTTAGCAGTGGGAGGAAACCGAAGAGAACCCACGAGGTTGGACAAGCGACCCTGCTCCTTGTCACGTACAACCGGGGAATCAAAACCACACCAGTTGACTCAATGACAGACTTTATGGCACAGAGCGCACATGCTAACCATTCAGCCATCCAACCCCCCTTCTTAGATATAACAAATATCATTCCTACCCTATATGCTGTAGTAAACTATAAAAAAATTTACTAATGCCTCATTCTGATAAATTGTTTCAATGGCATTTAGTAATTGAACTAGATTGTACTGGTCACAATTCTATGGAATACAATTACTGCTAATTACTGAACGACGTAATAATCTTACTTTCTTAATGCGATGCTGGGATGCCGGGATAGTACCTAAGTGCCTAAATATCAAATCCCCAGTCATCCTTAATTAAATTAGATTAAGTACATGTAATTAAGGAGTATCTCTGGTTGGTCAGCATTAACTTATCATATTTTCATATTCATCATTGCTTGATAATGACTAGAAAAGCCTAGTTGAAACGTCGCTCATTGATAAGCAGTAATTGTATTCCATAGAATAGTGACCTGTATGCCTCATTCTGGTTTATTATCTTTGTATGTGATAAACTAGATTTACTATATTGACGTCCAAAAGAAAGTATACACACTAAAAGTATGACTAAGTTTTGTTTAGATTAAAAACATTTGATAAAGCATTACTGAGTTTGTCTCTTGCGTCCAAACTCAACGTTTCTAAGCAAAATAAAAATGTGAAACAAATTGACATTCTACCCTAATACCGTATACCATGGAAAAACGACTTTGATTGATGCAGCACAAAATGCATAGTGTATACTTTCTTTTGGACGTTAGTATAGATTAAAATTTTACACCAGCTGATAATTCAACTACAGTCAATACTGTTGGCTTTATACTTACTCGAAACAGATCACAGGCCATAAGATAGGCATTTTCTTCTGCTTGATGAACTGAACAGTGTACACCTGTTATGTTTATATTGTGTGGCCAATATAGTTCTAATCGAGCCCTCCACATATGACCATTTAGTTTAGGGTTGAATACAAGAATTGGCTCAACTGTATCTCCTGATTTGACCATAGGACCGAGTAACTGATTCACTAAGCTTTTGGGGTCCTGATAAATAGCTTTCAACTTGGAAACTGTAATGGAAATTTGAACAAGTTATTGAAATTTGACATCACTACAAATCAATGTTGAATGTTTCCAAAACCATCATATTACTTTTGATACGTGTATCTAAATACCTTTCCAAATGTTATATAATGGAGTATTATACAGTGCGTACATCGTTCTTTAACTCAGGTATAGCCGAAAATCAAGTTGAATGATGAACGCATGCCCAAAGTAAAACTGTCATAAGATACATCAAATAAAACCCAATTCAGCTCTTTATTTTGACCTTATCAAAGAGATTTAGCTCCTTTAAATTAACTCATATCCTTTAGTTACAGTACCCTGAACTTGGTTGAAGATGCAGAATGTTTTACTATTAAAAAAAATGTGACTAAAGTTTCTGACCCTCCACAGATGACACCTGTCAAATCTACTCAGGAATGTCAAATATTTGAGACATTTAACTTCCACTCCAACTTTACCGCAGTAAACTGTTGTTGCGTTTTGACCCGGTACTTGGTTTGGCTCTGACTTGGGTGTTGAATTTCTTATTTATTATATACTATTCAAAAAAAGTAGGGGATATTTGATTTTTAAGTGTTATTAAAGTCACCTAATGAAACTGACGAAGAAACAAATGACAAAATGAAATGAAGTTCACATTCATCGATTTATTCCAAATGATCGTTAGACTAAGTAAGGCACAGACTGACCATTATAAGGGTAAAATGATACCCGGGGTCAAACAGCAAAGTTACCACAGCATCACAACCAAGTCAGTAACAGGTAAATCCTCCTCTGTTTGCCAAACAAGCATTGATCCGACGTGGCATACTCCTAATGAGACGTCTAAGTTCATTTTGGTCCAGATTGTCCCATTCCTGTTGCAACGCAGCAGCAAGTTCTTGGACATTGGCAGGACGTAGTTGACATTGACGTATCCTCTGTCCAAGCATGTCCCAGACATGCTCGATGGGGGAGAGGTCGGGACTCAGTGCTGGCCAAGGTAATGTGGTGATGTTCTGTTGTTGGAGGTAACCTGTAACGATCCTGGCCCTGTGACATCTTGTGTTGTCATCCTGGAAGATGAAACGGCGGCCATGACGTCGTGCGAACGGCACAACATGGACTGCCAAGATGTTGTCCCGGTAGTACTGGCCTGTAACACTCCCTGCAACAACATGTAAAGCCGTTATTCCAGCAACAGTGATGCCTCCCCACACCATAACAGAACCACCCCCAAATCGATCATGTCTGATGACGTTAACGTCTTGGAAGCGCTCGTTTCGACGACGCCACACCCTCCTACGTCTGTCCAAAAAATCAACAGTGAACCTTGACTCATCTGAACACATCACATTGCTCCAGCGTCGATTATCCCAGTGTTGACGATCCCTACACCAACGACGTCTTGCCTGAATGTGATGATCTCTCAAACAAGGGATCACGCGAGGACGTCGGGCGCGAAGGTGACCCCTATGCAGTCGATTCCGAATCGTCTGGCCACTCACTCTCACACCAGTGTCTGTTTGAAGACGAGCGCTGATCTGATTTGCTGTGATGACACGATTTCTCAAGGCCAAGGTACGGATAAATCGATCCTGGCCTTGAGTTGTCGCCCTTGGTCGACCTGAGCGTGGTCTGTCCTGTACAGATTGTGTATCACGGTATCTGGACCATAGCCTGCTTATGACAGACTGAGAAACATTCATCGTCCGCGCCACAACTGCCTGTGTTGTGCCGATCTGTAGCATGTCAAGGGCACGTAACCTTTCATTTTGGGTAAGCCGACGCATATCAAAATTTGTTTTCTGGTCACTAAAACAATTAAACTGATGTTTCCACCCTGGAATTCAATGCCACAATGACTGTAACATTCAAAGTCAGAGTCGTGCAAATCTTGGGTTGGACCCCCATGATGATCCCAAGCATCACCTGCATTCCATGCGGTAGCTATTGGTGCGTTTGGGCATCACATGTAACTGGAAATGTTTCTTCTGTTAGGTTCTATAGTGACTTTTTTCGTAGTCATTTGCATATTTTAGTATTATGCCCCCAAAATCAAATATCCCCTACTTTTTTTGAATAGTATATTTTCATTTTTACCTACTATTATCACTAGGTCTATATAAGGTCTATTGAATACTGGTAGCACGATTTACCCATAACCACCTAAATCTACTCAAATCCACCATTATTTCAACTCATAATAATAATTTATATCTATATTTGATAGTATACTGTTCTTTATGCCAAATTGTCATTTTTAATATAAAATCGTAATGAATTCGTTTAAAAAATGTCCTTCAAACTGTAATTTCCAAGCAAGCGATTTCGTGCAATACATGAGATATGTCCCTTGGTTACAACTTCCAAACTTGCTTGGAAATTGCATTTTGAGGGGGAATTGTGAGTGCGACACAAAAATGTTACGATTTTAAATTAAAAACAACAATTTAGTATAATTTTAAGAACAGCTAGTATATTATCAAATATCGATATAAATCATTGTGATGTGAGCTAAAATAACGGTGGATTTGGTTACAACTTCAAAACTTGCTTGGAAATTAAATTTTGAGGGGCATTTTGACACAAAAACGTTAAGATTGTAAATAAAATGACAATTTGGCATAAAGAACGGTATAAATACAAATATCGATTTAAATTTTTGTCTCATGAGTTGGCTAGATTTGTGTTAGTTTGGGTAAATCGTGCTACCCAAAACGGTACCTGTGAAACTTTGCAATTTTTCATACCTTCATGGTGATCTGGAACCTCCCATACCCTACGAGAGGCACATTCATTGCTAGTAGTACTCAAAGATCTTGATCTTGATGTTGATGAACAAACTAGAATTGCTGCTGTTGAAGTTAAGGGCAATTTGGAAAGACAGTTCGGATTTCTCCATTTCTTAAAATTTTTGCATTTGTTTACCAAAATTCGTTTGTAAATATGAGAACAAATCAGTGCCATTAATTCCTATGTTACAATTTGACAGATAGAAAAGTCATTAACATGACAATACTGTAAGTTATTGAATAGAGTTTGAAAGAATGCAGAACAAGCAGTTCTGTCATTGTTGTTATCACGTGATCATAATACCGATTTAACCCCTGACCTCGACGGGATAGTTTTGATCTTCCAGCCTCAAGTTAATTGAAGATATATCTCTGACAACATGCACTGCCATGTTTCTTGACGTCAGAGTTGGGGATGTAAAGCTTATTCTTGTGTGCCGAAGCTCAGCATATATAAGGATAATCAGAAATGTCTGATTGTTCAACACATTGGACTAATTCGAGGATGAAATCTCATTGTTTCACATTCAATGCCTACAAGCACATCTTCATAACAAACACGATTAGAGATTGGACTAATTTAAAGGCTCAATACCACTTTTGTAGTAACTGAATAATATGTCCCAATCTTTATTCTGGTCAACAAATTGTACTATTATACAATATTCCAATTAATTGATGATACAAATTTCATCTTAACACACCAATTTAAAAAATTGGAAAAATTCAACTAAATGATTTGAAAAGCCCTACGTAAAGCTTTTCAAATGTTACTTGGATTTTAAAATATTTTTGAACCCTCTGGGCAAGTAAAATAGGATTTAATGGATAATTTACACAACAGGTAGGACACTAACACATCTAGTACTTAGAATAAGGCTATTTTTTTTCTGGAGCTGTCAAGCCAGCAAGAGTGTTATTGTCCCTTTAAACCCCAGTATACTAGAGAAATCATCAAACTCCAAAAAGCTGTCCATATTTGTCAGACCTTATCAGATCACAAAGATACGAATAACTTTTTATTAGACACTTGACGCATGGACGGTGCATAAATGTCAGTATGGTGTAGCACCTATAAACGAAGATGAAGATTCATTTTGAAATATCAGAAATGACCAGGACACATTCGCTGACAAAGCTAGGGTGAGATTCTTATGTTGCCTCTGTCGTAATTTGCCAGTAATTGGCGCATTGGGTTACATTAAAGTAGCTAAGTCTCTAACTCAGTATCATCCAAAACCTTCGACAATGAAAACATGAACTATTTGTCAATTTTGATCAACATTGGTGTTGTGATCTTACCGGGAAAAGATGGGCTTCTGATATTCAATATTTATGACAAAATAAACATTTTACGATTGGTACACGAATCGTGTACCATGATGCGTTTCAGCGCAATTTGTAACAAACGACTCGGAAGAAGGAGGTGAGACATATTCCACAAGTCATGTCAAACGGTGACCCCATATTCTTATCTGGAGAGCATGTCCAATAAATACTATCAGTGTAGACTGGAATAACAAGGCGCTAGAGATTGACATTCGATTGAGACTTCTGGCGTATTTCGCCGAACATAACTGCTTTGAAATTAGAGTAAAAACGGAAAGGATGAATGTAAATCAGTTTATTTACATTCATATTACATTATTATATATGTTGCAACCCATTTGTGTCAATTTGTAGGTCCCAAATATTAGCGACTAGCTCCTTTAAATGGAAAAAAGTATCAATAGCATTTAGTTAGTAATTCAAGGGTAGTGCGGCGATCCATAGAATATAATTATTGTTATATTCTGGGCGATGTTTCGATACTGGGATAATCCTCCTTTTGTAATAATAAAGTCTTGTGAATCTAAGTCAAAACAAATGAAATGAAATGAAATGAAATGGGGTTTAGTTTAGCGTCCTACTGTTCTGCTCCGATTGGGATAATGAAGACGGGCAGACGTCATGCAGTGTGCTATGAAGGACATTTTGCCCGGGCAACGGCACAATCGCCTACTCTTATGTCGACTTCCATATGCCAAGCGAGTTTTACGTGCACGCCAATGTATACACAGGACCTCGATTTTTTGTCCCATACGAACGACTAGAAAGCCGATCTTGTCTGGTCCACCGTCCTGCACCAATGAAAAGGGGAAACCAGGTCGGAAAATCCCGATGAACTTTCTCGGCCAATGCAGGGATCGAACTAAGTCATAACAACGCTCAGAAATAAACAGTAATTATATTGTAATTTGTATCTTGTTGATTTGATTTTTTAACTCCAATATCATTGATTTACACGAACTCTTTTTATTAGAATACCCCTGCTCCCAAATATGTCACTTTATAATAACGATCAGTAAAAGTCGAAGATTTATAACTTCCCAGGCATACATTTATTTTTGAGACATTTATAAATTAAACAATGTCGTTGGAATTTAAACCCAGCTGCAATTCTCCATCGGCATATGGAACTATAGGAATAATGAATAATGTATTACAGATAAACTTAAAAAAATGGGCTTATACATCTACTATTGAAGGCTTTGGAGCAGAAGGAAATGCTGCCAAATTTAGCCACACCACTTCATGTGTTACTTAGTTCGATTGCTACATATCAACTTTTAAGGTCGGTTAAAGGGGTTTAAAGTCAATCTGTTACATAGAGAATACAATATCTCTGTCATAGATGACTGCCTTAACACGTGCTGTCACAGCACGCGGTGTGAATCATTGGCTGAATGGCGCGTGCATTGTTTACATAAGACATAACTGCTTCGGAGAGAATGCTGCATTTTAATCATTTTAATACCCATTTACACTAAATCGGAAATAATTTTTAACTACAAATACGTCAAACGCCTTTATTTATTTTTCCAATATATACAAAAAATGTTTTAGAATTTAATTTGTCGCAGAAAAAAAGTTAATATTTCTAGCTCATTAAGCCGCATCAATGTCATCCTTATCAGTGATTGTGGCGGCCAAGCAAATATTCACTGCGGATCAGTGTGGGGTTAAGTGTGGGGGACGTAATGATCCGAAAAACACCGGAAAACTACCGGAAAACACCATGTTATATTGAATACCGGAAAACACCGGAAAAACACTAAATACCGGAAAACACACTTAATACCGGAAACCACCCTAAATAGGTAACCCGGAGAAGGGCTATACTGTAAACCGGAAACTAACCCTAACCCAGGCACACAGAGGACCAGGATCCCGGTTACCTATTTAGGGTGCCAGTCTCCGGGTTTTCTAATGCATGGGATTAACATATTTGTATAATGTCATTGCCCCATTTTAATCTACCAGACATATCATTGTTAACCTAGTTCTCACTGCAGTACTAGCTATAGTAGCTAATAGTCCAAGAGCCAGTGACGAAAAAACTGCCTCATAAGTAATAGAAGGTTTGACTATATTAATTGGCAGCTTTGATAGGGCAAATTCAAAACACCCAGTCTTACGAGGTTTCAGTGGGGCATTTGGCTGGGAGGGGCAGATAAAAAGGGCCAAAAAGGACTAAAATTTGCCTCATAAGTAATAGGATCAGAATTATTTCTAAAATGTTGCCATACAATGTATGAATATAAAAAATATAAATCTGACCAGAAAAAGTGGGGCCATGCCCTTTTCTGACTGCCTTAAAAAGTGCTGACGGGGGCCAAAATTTGCCTCATTAGTAATATAGTTGAAATTGGTGCCAAATGTTAGCTATGTACGAGCCGATTTTAAAAATATCAAATCTGACTGGTTTCAGTGGGGCATATCCCTAATCTGACCACTTAAAATCTGCCCGATCTGCCACGCCCACAAAAAAGGTCAAAATTTGCATCATAAGTAATACGATCAGAAATAGTTTTGAAATGTTGTGGTGCTATATCTGAATCTTAAAATGTAAAATCTGACCGGAAAAAATGGGGCCACGCCCCTTTCTGACTGCTCTAAAAAATGTGGACGGGGGCCCAAAAATGCCTCATAAGTAATAAGACTGAAATTGGTGCCAAATGTTAGCTAATTATGAGACTATTCTAAAAATATCAAATCTGACTAGTTTCATTGGGGCAAACCCCTAATCTGACCACTTAAATGTGCCGAATCTGCCACGCCCACAAATGGGGTCAAAATTTGCCTCATAAGTAATATGACTGAAACTAGTGCCAAATGTTAACTATGTATTAGTCGGTTCTAAAAATATAAAATCTGATGGGTTTCTGTGGGGCAAACTCCTAATCTGACCACTTAATTGTCACCAACCACCCAAAGGTTGAATACTCATGCTTGATTTCAATTCAAATTTAAATCTATAATCTAACTAATTTGACACCCCACTATTAATTTACAGTTTTCAACAACATAGTAGAAATTCAATACAGCATGGCTGGCCTCCAAGTGACATGATTCTCCATTAAAGGAGTCAAGTCTTGAACTCAATATCATCCCAAATTTTCAACCAAGTGATACAATTCTCCATTAAAGGGGCCAAGTCTTGAACTCAATATCATCCCCAATTTTCAACCAAGTGATACGATTCTCCATTAAAGGGGCAAAGTCTTGAAGTCAATATCATCCGTTTTCAAGGTTGCAAACACGACTTAAATGGTCAATTTAAATCAACATACATTGATGTTGTTATCTTACCATGAAAAGTTGAGCTTCTGGCATTTAAGACAAAATGAAAATGTTAAAATTGGCACACGAATCGTGTGTCAGAACATTTTTGAGCGCAATTTGTATGAAGCGACTTGATGAACGAGGCTAAACATATCCCATGTAGGAGAATACTACCAGTGTAGACTGGAATAACCAGATGCCAAAGACTACCATTCAATTCGGACTCGTTGCGTATTTCGCCGAACATTACTGATTAGAAATTACAATAATAACCGAAACGATTGAATGTAAACCAGTTTATATACATTCATATTACATTATTTTATGTGTTGTGACCCATTTGTGTCCATTTCCAGGTGCCAAAGAATAGCGATTGTAATATTAAATTATTTCATGACAATATCTTTTATACAAGAATCTATTATTGAACAAGAAAACGTAAACATAACAAAAGAGCTGTATAGTCAGTACATTGCCAATCTGTTAGAAGTATATACCAGTTTTTCAGAGGATGGCAGCCAAGATAATAATATATTTGGTGATTTTACTATTTTCAATTTTGAAAGGAAGATAGTGAATTACTTTGGACCACAGAAATTGACATTATTATCATCAAATACTAAAGGAAATATCATTTATAACAATAGAATGAATGTTGAAGAGGCCATTAAAG